GTGCAATGGTCTTTTTCTATTTAGAAGAAAGACTAAAGAAGATGTAAATCTTGAAGCCTTCCTCAAGAAATATTGTTCACTAGCACCAAAAAGGTATCCCTTCTCAGATATCAAGAAAATGACAATGTCATTCAAAGACAAACTCGGTGAAGGAGGTTATGGAACCGTCTACAAAGGAAAGCTTCCAGGTGGTCGTCCAGTTGCAGTGAAAATTTTAAAAGTAGCAAAGGGAAATGGAGAAGAATTCATCAATGAAGTACTAAGCATTTGCACAACCTCGCACATTAATGTTGTCACATTCTTAGGATTTTGCCTTGAGGGAAAAAGAAGAGCATTAGTTTACGAATACATGCCTAATGGATCTCTGGAGAAATTCATCAACAGCAGCAAAAACACTATAGGTTGCAATCAATTGGGAATGGATAAACTTCACCAAATTTCACTCGGAGTTGCTCAAGGATTGGACTATTTACATCGACGATGCAACACTCGAATCTTGCATTTTGATATAAAACCTCACAATATTCTTCTAGACGAGGATTTTCATCCTAAGATCTCTGATTTTGGTTTAGCAAAACAATACACCAGGAAGGACAGCATTGTGTCAATTGAAGACATTAGAGGAACAATTGGATACATTGCCCTGAATTGGTCTGCAGGAGTTTCGGAGGGGTGTCATATAAATCTGATGTCTATAGCTATGGAATGATGGTTTTGGAAATTGTCAGAAGAAGAAAGAACGTTAGTTCAGAAACAAGCCATTCAAGTCAAGTATATTTTCCACTATGGCTTTATCAACATCTTGTCGTCGACAATGACTTGAGATTAAAGGGAGTTGCGACTCCAGAAGAGGATGAAACTGCTAGGAAGATTATTCTGGTGGGATTATGGTGCATCCAAAATGATCCGTCCCAGAGACCTACGATGAGCAAGGTCATCGAAATGCTGGAAGGTAACTTGCAGGCTATTTTAATTCCTCCAAAGGCGTTTTTCGGTTCTCCTTCAATAACACCACAACCTTCTTTCACTTTATCATGTACTACCGTGGTTGTGTCATCATAGTAGAATAATAATCTATAAGACTATAACTGTTGTACGAGAGGAGGTTTTGCATTGTCTACATAATCTTTTCAATGTGTTGAATAATTGACAGCGCAACGAAAATTCAAATATCTGCGTGCACATATGAGAACTTATGCAACTAATATATTATGAACCTTGCAGTTCTTAAGAAAATTGTAGAAGAAATGCAAAATTTATTGAAAGGGTTGGATAGTTCCAATATACGTAAAGCGTTGGCTTCCATTTTCCAAGTAATTAGAAGTTACGAAATCTACAGCCATGCATTCAACACAAACATACATATAGTGAATGTCGGTCACAAAAGCATTGAAGCAAAATAGGAATATGGACTCAAAAGCAACATCAGCTGCGGCTTTTCATCCTTCTGGAATAATGATTTAATAATTTCATCTTTTTCGTTTATGTTACATGAGCAATCTCCAGTTTATCTCATTCAGTTGCATATGGAAACGCTGACGAGTTCAAAGATTGTAGTCACCTTTACAGCTGTGGAAACTTGAATCTACCTTTTTCAAGTTGGTGCCCAAGTTATTTTGGTCGCCGAAGTTATAACCTCATTCGTGTAAAAGGACAATATATGGTCATCTTGATTTTTCAGTTACCATAGCGTGTAGTGGAAATTGATCCATAGATTCCTAAATCGACACTCTCGCTCAATGATCTTTGGAAAGATAATTCGTTCGCTTTCATGGTCTTTCTGCGACAATTATAAGTCATTTGACATCAATTGTACTGACCATTAGATATATATTGTGAGAAATCCCCAGCTATTCTATGGTATGTCAACTCCACAGTACAAGTTAACATCGAATGAAGCCGTGACGGTTTGATCAATGTTCAGTGCGTTGCTTATCAATGTGAGGCTTCTGGAGGAAAAATCTGGTCTGATCAAAACAATCAACTTACTTGCATCTACCAAGATAATTCTCGTGGAATGAATTGTTCTGATCATGGTATTAAATTTTTAATTTCCTTCTCATGTGTTCGTTTGGACTAAGTTAATATGTTCATTTGCTCCATTCACGGACGCAACTGGAAAGAGGTGTCTTGTGAAGCTAGAAACCCGTATGCAAATGTCATTTAAACGTTTTTGCTCGTGACTGCCTTACTCCGTCAAATGATTTGAGTACTTCATTATTTATCTTGGTGCAAGGGCCACAGAGGAAATCGTCCAAATCGGGGCACTTAGTGAAGATTCCGAATTCAACCCAAAGAAAATGGGGAGGAATTCATCTATGAGATTTCAAGCATTAGCGAAACTTCTCATGTTGATTTCTGAATTTTGGTGGGATATTGCCTTTACGGTTCTAAAGCGCTCTGATGTATGAATTATTGCCAAATGGAACACTTGAAAAGCGTATTCATGGGTGTCAAACCAAACAAATAATTATAAACCTATTTCAAATACGTAATAGAGAGAAGTAAAATCGTCTTCTTAGGAAATAATCGTTTCCTTTAAACTAATGCAAATAGGAAATTTTGATGTTCTAATCTATGATAATGAAATTGCAAATACTCCCTCCGTCCCATAATTATTGTCCAATTTTACTAAAATGAAATATTTTATTTTTGGTCAAACTTAACTGTATTTTACCTTGAACAACCGGATATACCCCTACATAAGTAATTGTTTAACCACAAAGATTTGATGGATAATGTTTTTTACTAAGGACAAATGTGTAACTTGATCCATAAAAAGTCAAACTGGACAATAATTTTGGGACAGAATTTTTTGGGCAAAGTGGGCAATAATTATGGGACGGAGGGAGTAACAAAAAATAAATAAAAGAAAAGATTAAAGTAACAAACATCTGACTCATTATAATCATTCAATTATTTCACTGATCATAGGTATCTAAAAGTATTCTTGCAATTTGAGCATTCAAGTTCAAGATAGCCGTAGTAAATTTATAATTTCTCTAAATTAATTGACCAAAATTGGCATTCAATCAACACTTATCATAAACCTTTGGGCATAATAGCGTACCATACAAATAAATGACAGCAATAAATCTTATGAAAATATACTTGAAACACAACATAAATCATTGAAATAGCTGCAATAATTTAAATTATGGTTCGTTGATCCTACTACCAGGCATACAAAAGCATCCAAAATCTAACTAATAGACAAGATCTCTCTAGTTGCTATTAAATTCTAATAGTTCGTATCAATTACATAACATACAATCAAAGGATAGCAGTAAAAAGAAAATACACAACCAAGTTGTCAATTTAATTGGTATTCACTTTTATAACTTTAAACAAGAATCAACAAACTACTCAAACTATAAACAAAAATTAAATTGAAGAACAAAACCTCACAAGTAAAACAACTGAATTAAATTCATTAAATAAAAAATAAAAAGATTTAACCACTTATAATCATAGACATAATGGTTTGAGTATTCATGAAAACAATAGAACCAAGTCGAGAAGAATTTAAAACCCAGAAAAAATTGAAACGCCGGCTGAACTCCAAAGCTGCGCACAAAGTAGAAAAAGTGCCGCCAAAAAAACCGTGGCCAAAAAGAAAGACATAAAACACGGCTTTTATACATAAAGTTAGCCGCACCGAAGAAGAAGTTGGGCAAAAATTACAGTATTGGTCCTTCTATTTTTTAGCTTCTCCATATTTGACCCAAAACTTTCTTCAATATTGAGATTCAGTTCACTAAATTTCTTTGTTATCAGCTTTTGTCTCTAGAAACTTTCATTTTTTTTATAATTAAGTCCATCAATGGAGTAAACTTCTTCATTTGCTGAAGCTTTATAATTTTGCAGGTGATCTTTTTGCAGCAATTCGTCTAGAAAGGTTGTAAACTCCGACTTTCAGCACCTAACACAAAACTTAATAAAACCTAACGAATTAAAATTATCCAAGTCCATAAAATCAAAAAAGTAATAACAATTAAAACATAATTTATGTGCTGTATCACTAATCAGTCCTGGATCATATAAATACTTGAAAAGGACTAGAGTACTTGGACGGAGGATGCAACACTCGCACTTTCCAGTCATCAAACCTCTCAACAATCTTCTTTGCGAGGATTTCTGTCCAAAAATCTCGGAGTTTTTGGCTGGCAGAACTACGTGCTTGAAAGGAGAGTATGGTGTCCATGTTACGAACCGGGGGAACCAATGGTTACATTGCTCAGGGAGTGTTCAGTAGAAACATATTGGTAAAGTCTACTACAAATTTGAAGTCTACGGCAGCGAGACTAATTTTCCGGATTCAGTTTATGATCGCATGATGATCGATGAAGCCCTAAATCTGTATTTTATGAAATCAGCAGTTTAGTTTATGATCAGGTTAGTATGACAAGAAAAAAAAAATGAAATTGCAAGGAAGGTGATATTTTAGTGTTGGATTCTAGACCTCCGGTGCATACGGACCAGTCCAATAGTGCAAAGCCAAACTACCTATATATTGGAACCAATAATAACTCATGCGCCGAAAGCTATATATGCCACGAACTTAACTTTATCACCACCCCTATATAATGTCTAAATTGGATTGCAAAGAAAAGAATTAAGATGCCCGGCCCTTTCATGTTAAGCCGTAGAAGTGAAGCACACGAACCGACTTTTGAATTTGTCATTTCAATGCTTTATTTTTCATCATCACATTCCACACCAAGGAAGAGAATGTAATTCCATATAATAATTTAAAAAAGAGTTACTTTCAAATTCTCCTGAAATCATTCGTCATTGTGGAATATACCAAAAGAAAAGAAAAAGACTCAGTTGATTCCGTCTTCTCATTTTTTTTTTCATCCTAGTCTTCTTACCAGCGTCACTAAGTCACTATATAATACGGTTTCTTACTATCTATGGTGAATGGCACCGGCCAAACGTTGATTGAACTCAATGGTCCTTTCTTTTTCCAACATTATTACTATATATTAGAGAGAACCAATTGGAGTGAATGAATTCGAATATTATCCTAATCTTTGATCAATCAATTCGGAGAAGTGAGCGTGACTAATCAAATCGACCATAATGATTCGTCCTCGCGTCTTCATCCTTTACCTTCTTCCTCTGCTCTTCTCCATTTTTCAGGTCGAATCCAACGGTCTAGAAAATGAAACCTTTGTGTATTGTTCCACAAGCAAGTGCGGAAATCATGAAGTTAGATATCCATTTTGGATCAAAAACAACGCAAGCACTGCTTTTACACATTGCGGGTACCAAGGTTTCGGCCTGGACCTGGATTGTTTTCCACCACCACCTAAATCAACCACCCATGGCGATCAACATGATTGGGCCCTTTTCCTTTCACTCCCTTACGATTTTCTCTTTGTTAAGAACATAAATTGCATCGCAAAAATCTTGACCCTGGTTGATTTGGAAGTTCAACATAACATCACTTGTCTAAAGGCAAGTCACAGTCTAACTTTTGAGGATTTGCCATTGGGTTATAACAGGGCAGATTTGAACCTTACTTTTTACTTCAATTGCACTCGTCCACTTACCTTCTCGAATGATTCTACTCCAATGTACCGCATTGATTGTTTATGCTGAGGTGGGAATGTGTCTTATGTTTCTTTGGACACAAACAATCAAGAGGATTTTCATTCGTCTGGCATTTGTGAGGAAAAAGTTGTGGCGGCTGTGATCGATCCGAAACCAGAACAGGGGTATCCTCATGCTCTGGATTGGGGAAGATCATTTGGAAAGGCTATGAATGAAGGGTTTTTGTTGGATTGGGGTACTGATAAGAAATGTACTTCTTGTGGAAGATTCTGGTGGACTTTGTGGCTTCAAGGAGGTTACGGAGAAATTCTTATGTTTTTGCAATGATGGCACCACTAATCCTGATCAATGCAATAGAGGTAATTAATTACTCCTTTTGCCCAAGAATTATTGTCCGGTATCAATTTTGTAAACATACTCAAAATAGTTGAAAAAGATTTTTTTTTTTTTTTTTGCAAACTGTATAGAGTTCGTGTTTTCCAAATGCAAATTCTTAACAAAATTTTTGCGTCGAGGTTTTCTGTTGGCACGCTGAATGTGACAACAAAGTCGACGCTCAATATATACATTTTGTTTTTTTTTTTTTTTAATTTTTTAATTTTTTATTTGAAAAATCTTTTCTTTACAACTTTTCACCCTAAGTTTTTTTGTGATTGTTGATAGGGTGTTTGAAAGATTTACATAGTTCCACATTTTCCCATTACCCTATATTAATAACAAAGTCAAAATTTTTATTATACAATAGTGATTGAAACTTGTGTTCACCAACAAGTTGAAAATTGAAAATGAAAGCGCCATGTTCACTTTGCAGGTATTAGAGCCTTACGTCAATACATTGGTATTTGAGATGTTTCTATATTTCTTGAAAATTTTGACTTTGGTTCCTTTTTCTGAAACATTAGTTAACATACACTAGTTAATATAATTCAGCATAAAATCAAGAAAGATCTAAATACATTCTTTAAACATTAGTTAAGTCACACGATCAAATAACATACAAACTCATGATTTCCTTTATGGCGTGTTCAAAAAATATACTCCCTCCGTCTCATAATTATTGTCCACTTTGTCCAAAAAATTTTATCCCAAAATTATTGTCTAATTTGACTTTTTATAGATCAAGTTACACATTTGTCCTTAGTAAAAAACATTATCCATAAAATCTTAGTGGTTAAACAATTACTTATGTAGGGGTATATCCGGTTGTTTAAGGTAAAATATAGTTAAATTTGACCAAAAATAAAATCTTTCATTTTAGTAAAATTGGACAATAATTAGGGACGGAGGGAGTACATAGTTCCGCCCTTCCTCTTACACTATACTCATGTCAAAATTATCGTTTTTATACAGTACTAATTTAAACTGGTGTTCATCAAGAAGTTAAACATTAATGAAGAAAATCCATAGTTTACTTGACAGGTTCTCGAGCCTTACAATTAATATACTAGTATTGGGGGGTGTTCCTTCATTTTTAAAGATTTTGACATATTTTGGCACTTTTTTGTGATAAAATTCGTAATTGGCATGTTATGATGATAATTCAGCATTAAAACTAAGGAAGATCTAAATATATCTTTTAAACATTAGTTAACTCTAATGACCTGGTGGGTGTCAAACCAACAAAAATAAAAGATTCTACTCCTAACAAATTTAGTAGTATAGCAATGAGTAGAGTCGTCTCCTCAGGGAGCAAGGAAGTGAAAATATTTCTAATCAAAAGCAAAGTAACTAAATGGGAGAGATTTTGGATTTGTAACTAATGAATAACAAAAATAATTTGCAAGCAATAAAAGATACTTTTGGAAAATCAATAATAAGAGCAACTCTAGTCAAAGGAATAATTTCCACCTTGATGTATCCAACTAATCATTGATGCAAAGATTAACTCAACAAATGATGAATATATTAGTTATCGTTATTGGAACCTCCTAACAACTCAATCTTTTTATTTAACTACCAGTGACTAAGAAACCTTCATTAATCACTCTATAGCCAAAAAACACTACCTGGAACCTCCTAGGATTCAGTTTTTGACAAGCAAAGACCCAATTCAATTTCTAACAAACAAACCTTGTTTCATTAAAAATTGATTATTTATTCTCACAACACAAGTAAACTACTTACCAAGTAATTATTTGCATTGTCTCTTCTAAGGAACAAACAAACCTTGTTGTTCAATAAATTAGATTATCTAGGAGAATTGAATGCTACCAGCTATTCAAATAATGCCAAATAATCATCAATACACATCAAAGAGAATAAATAAATACTCAAAATTCGTTGGTGAAAAGCAAACAGTTAGATCTCACAATTGAATAACATCAAGGCTTCAATAAAATCCTTTAACTAGAAATAAAAGGTTTAGTTGCTAATCATGGTGAAATCAACAACACAAGAATTGATGTTTGACATTACAGAGCTAAAACTGACGAAAATGAAGAGAAATCCTTGTCCTGAGCTCCAGCTATTGCTCCTTGTGTTGTGCCTCTTCTCCTCTCTTTTCTTAATAATAAGAAAAAGACTATTTTATATGAAATTTTAGGGCATCCCCACGTTCAACCTCTTCAAAATCCGCAGAGGCCAATTAAGATTTTCAGAATTTTCAAATTGGTCCCTAAAGTTTTTCAAAATTACAAATTGATCCTTAGTCCCTATTTCACCGTGCCCACGCGGGAATACAACATTGTTTCTAGAATTTCCTGCTTCTTTCATTGATTTTGGCATAGATTTTGTGTGCCCACGTGGGAATTAACCACTTCTTCTCTAACTTGAAACTTGATTCAATAAAACCTTCAAAATCTCTTCAAAATCAACACTTTTCTTTTTTTTGTTCCAAATCCTTCCTATGATCAAATTAAGAATCAAAACACTAATATTAACATAGATAATATTCAAAACAACACATAAACCACCACAAATATCATGCTAATATTAACATTATCATGACCAAATGACATACATTCTCACGATTTAGATGATGGGGTGTTCGAAACATTTGTGTAGTTCCACCTTTCCTCTTACGCTTTATTCATAAGTTTCAAAATACAATAAGTCTTTCACCAACAAGTTGTTCCAACTTGTGTTCCAACTTTTACACTTGTTTCAACTTTTACTTTAATGTAGTACACAATAAGTAAACATGATGTGATCCTGGATGGTCCTCAAACCGCGGATCTTTTCTTCTTGTACAATTGCACCAAGCCTTATGACAAAGAGGCTTTCGTTGTGGATTGTGCCAGCAATCCTGCAAGTCCTTATGATTTTGCTGTTTTCCATCCTGACTGCCCCGATCGCTGGAACTATTCCATCGGGTCATATTAGCCTCCGATTAATGCAGCTGTAACGACTGATGATTCGCTTCGAAGGTTGCTGAATATGAGTTATTCACAGGTTCTGAGGAGAGGATTTGTTTTACAGTGGGATGATGAGGACTGTAGGCACTGCAGGCTGCGGTGCTTCTTTCGACGAATTTGTATGCTTCTGTAATTATGGTAAATCTGAAACATTTTACTCTGAAATGGAACTATATCTGTTGCACAAATATTTGTTCAGCATCACTAATAAGGTTTTTTTTTTTTTGGTTTACTGATCCTGATTCTTGATGGCATGTTACTTCAAATTAACCTTATTATAGTTGCAATAGTAAAACGAATGGAGTTGAAACAAACTTCAGCGTCATTGATTTTTTAACCTATATATACATTGGCGAACTTTTTATTTTAGTTATGTCACATCTAAATTCTTCAATTGATACTCTATTGTATGCTATTTCACTGCAACTTGATGAGTTTGTAGCTGGCCTATTAATTTAGACAATGATATTGCCTTTTTAGTTCATGGAGAAAAACTAGTTGGGGAAATTTTCCAAGTGTTGAATTTTCTTGTTCTGAAACCTTCTTGTTGTTTAAGATCCAACCACTGATTGGCAGCTTCTTTGTCATTTCACCCGGAAAATTTGGCTCCTTTCCTTGTCGGAAGATTGGAACATAGAAGACCAAATGAAGTGTTTCTAGATTTCCTGTGTATTTTGATCAGCAACTCTTACATCAAACACTTCCGTCCAGCTTCAAATTAGTGAAAAATGCAATAAAATGCTCATTTGAGCAGTTGCAGCGAGACCTATTTTCCGGATTGGCTGCTTTATGATCGAGTCATGGTTTATGAAGAGCAAAATCCGCCTGGACAGATTGGAATGACAAAAGAAGAGAATGCAACTGCGAGGAAGATGATAGTAGTAGGACTCTGGTGCATTGCAAAGGTCATTGATATGCTTGAAGGTGACTCAAAATTCCTTGGAACTTCCCCCTAAACCAATATTATCTTATTCTTCAAGAGCTGGAGAAACTCTGGAGATATCAGAGCTGCCGCCAAAGAACATGTATTCTGTTTCTAGATCAGACAGCTATTCTTCTAAATGAAATCTATTTCAGAGGTCACAAATAAGACATATTTATGGAGAGCTTATCAATCTTAAAAGTAAAATCCATGTCAAAAGTGCCCATAAAATCCAACTGAAACTTTTGAATTGGCAAGAAATTTTTTTAGCAATCGATGCATTCTCTCATGTTATTTCTTATTGCCAAGAAAAGTAACTTCTAGTATAGCCATGAGTTTTGTGACAGTACTTCTCTCACATGAAAGTTTTTCATGATTCTCAGATTTTTTTAGCTAAGTGCTTGAGTTATGTTATTTTGCGGACTGTAGTTCAGTAATAAGTCATCAAAATAAAGTAAACATTTTTCATAACGATATGAGATAAAAGAATGATGTCAGTGGAACCAAGATAGCTACATTGTTATATTTACATCTGCATACAAAATCTGTGTATATATGGTAGCAAGCAAAAGCTTTAGATATCACAGAAGGCTTATAGAGTTATTGCTGGTTACAAATCAAAGAAAAGCCCTACCCACCTAAAAAACCAATAACAATGGAGATGCCAAAATACTGCTCAACTACTGGTATTGGGTGTGGTTGTATTACTAACTATTCCTTCAATCACAGAATTTGGTGAGCTAATGAGCTGACGGGCTTTTAACAATGCAACATCATCTGCTTGATTTTCATTCCCATTTGTGTTACCCGAACTGTAATCCTTGTCCTGGATTAGCATTAGAGTCTCTAGGACCTCTTGCATAGATGGTCTCATATCCCTCCCATATTGCAAAGATTGAAATGCCAACTCTGCCACATCTGTGATCATCATCCTCACATTGTAATCTGATTCGTATCCAATATTTGGATCCACAAGCTCGTGCAATAAGTTGCCCTGAATCTTGTTGACTGCCATGTTTGATAAATTTATATCATGCCGGTGCCTGGTAATGTCCACAGCAGGCAATGATGATATGAGCTCAATCAATACAACGCCAAAACTGAAGACGTCGCTTTTATCAGTCAGATGGTAGCATTCATGATACTCGGGGTCCACATATCCTGGAGTGCCTTGTGGAGCAGTTGAAATATGTGTAGCATTAATTGGAAATAGTCGAGACAGGCCAAAGTCTGCTACTTTGACATGGAAATCAGCATCCAGGAGGATATTATTGGTCTTAACATCTCGATGGATAACATCTGAAGCGTGGAGATAAGACAATGCACTTGCAGTTTCTATAGCGATCCTCATTCTAGTACTCCATGGAAGTGATCCAGGCATTGCCAGTGCACCATGAAGATGATCAGCAACTGTGCCATTAGGAACGTATTCATATACAAGCAAAAGTTCACGGCTGTGGCGAGAGGTGCATCCGTACAAGGTCACCAGATTCTGATGGCGTAAGCGTGTGAGAATGACAACTTCGTTAATAAAATGCTCAACTCTCTTGAAATTGCTTTCGTACAATCTTTTGACAGCAACAACGCGTCCATCTTTAAGTTTACCTATTCAGGATATACGGATAAATGACCTTCATTCATTCGTAAGGCAGTTGCCAGCAAAATCAATCATCTGTAATACAATTTTCAACTCTAGTTCTTACCTTTATATACTGTGCCAAACCCACCATCTCCAAGCTCTTGCTCAGAATCAAAGTTATTTGTAGCTTGTTCTAGCTCATTGTAATCAAAGATGTGCACTCCAGTGTTGCCAATAGCCGTTTCAGGATCATATACTGAAGATGGATCCGAAGAGATTTCTCGAGAAAGCAATGTTGAGCCCCGCTTCTTTTGTTTCTGCCTCCTCATGCAATAAAGGAAAATAAAGCATGTAACTAGGGCACTTCCTGCAGCTGCACCAAAACCTGCCAAAAGGAAACATCAGGTGTAAAAGATATAATCAATGGATGTAAACAGAAAAGTCGAACAGATCTGTAATCTAGTAGGTGTGTTACCAATAGCAATCTTCCATCGCACTCTTGATTCGCGACCTGAGCAGAGGAAGTCAATAAATGACATGTTAGTATATCATTTAAAAATTTTAGTTCTTCCGTGACATAACTAAATCAAACTTTCACCATATAAAAATGGCACCGAAGTTTGCTTCCAAGTCCATACTGCTTAAGTTAAGTTCGAAGCAAACTTTGATTGAGGTTAAAAATATAAAAATATATAATTAAAAAAAACACCATCAAGAACATTTAGGGGATCAGTAAACAAGCAATTAGCCTAGCAATAGTAATAATAATGATTTAAGTAAATACTGTAAAAGTTTCATCTGTGATATGATCGTCGCAGATTCACCCTTATTACATGCTTTTGGAGAGATGTGATCATGGCAGGAGCAGATAAATTTGTCGAAAGAAGAACCACAGCGCCCTCCACTCCTCCTGCAGTTCCTACAATCCTCCTCATCCCACTGTAAACCAAATCCTCTCCTCAGAACTTCTGAATAACTCATATTCAGCAATCTTCCTAGGGAATCAGTTGTTACTGGTGCATTAATCGGAGGCTGACATGACTGAATGGAATAGTTCCAGTGATCAAGGATTTCAGGATGGAAAATGGCGAAAGCATAACGGCTTGAATTAGTCGCACAATCCACAGCAAAAGTCTTTTTATCATAAGGCTTGGTGCAATTGTAGAAGAAGAAAAGATCTACAGTCTCAGGACCATAGCTGAATGGAGTTCCATCAATGCTAAAATTATGTTGAGGAGCAGGACATCTATTACCACTATCATCCAACTCAGCTTGATACAGCAAGATGGAACTATTTTCATAAAATATATTCTCAATGATATAATCGTCACCGGAGATCTTCACAACAGGATTCTTGTTCTTGCAAGTGACGTCGAATCCAGATGAACCACAATATGACTCTTGCCTACCCTGAATCCAAAAGGGATAGTCTATCTTTGGTCCATTACCACAGCTTTGAGCTGCACAGTTGCTTATGTTTGAGTTCAAACACAAAACTCCATCCACCAAGATAGTGAAGAAAACTACAAAGATTTCAATATGATGCTCGTTTGTGAAGAAGATTTTATGATCCATTATCTGATACAGGGAAGGTCACAAAAGAAGGAAGACACAGGAAGAATAGAAGATACTAATGTGGAAGGAAACATCGGAATCAAGATTGAAAACGGTGGTGGTTTAGTGAATCAAGCAAGAAACTTAAAGCTTTTGTTTGCAAAAAAATAATGATTGATGTTTTGACAATTAGTCTTAGAAGGAAGAAAGACAGATTTTCACTTCAAAGACTCCAAGTCTTCAAGTAATAGCAAACAGAATTCTGTTGGTTTGTCTTATACTGTATTTTTCAAGGCGCGTTTTGGAGAGCAAGAGACAACTAGTTTAGCCATTATAGTTGACTTGAGCTTAGCAACTTTCCTGCTTAGGTAATAATGTAACTTTACATATCCTCAGAACACTTCTAATCATACAAATTACATTGTAAGTTCTTCCTCTTAAAAGTGAGTTCATCGATTTCCAATCATTCAAGACATTATTTGTTAATAACGACTATTGAGTTATGTAACGAAATAATCGAATAAATGTTGATACGGTTCAAATAAAGTCAGGACTCAGGAGCGTAACGCTTACTCCATGACTCTAGCTATAGGACTAGGAGGAAGAAATGACTAGTGTGGTGAAGGAGAAACTTTTGGGACAGGGACTTTTCACCACGCGGGATCCTAAAGTATTATTTGGGAAGGTGATATCATAGAAATTTCAGTGCACCACTTTGACGGGGCTTAAGATGACGATGATTGATTTTCATTGGGTTGGATTTGGTCGAACCGAAAGTGATTACAATATATGTATATGTAAAAAAGGGTTCCTTTTGGTTAGCCTTTTCACATTGTATGATTTGGAATATTCCAATTGATAAGATAGTGACAATTTGTGAATTACAGGGGACCAGTACGCTAATACTTCTCAATACAGCAACATATATTGGCAATTCTTGTGGTATTAATTCTGGTCCAAGGAAGAAATCTTAATCTTGTGGAATTAATGATCTTGATGGTTTTTAAAATTAATATATTAATAACCGTCACATCCCAACATACCTCTCTACATTTCTAATACACTTTTTTACATTTCTAATACAAAAAACACTTAAAAACACACACTAAAAAAACAAAACAAACATATACATGTCCACTAGCATGCAATGTCGTAATAGTGCTTTGGCTTCCAATTATGTGAAAAGAAAAATAAAACAAATTACCCGGTATGCGGTATTGTACTAATAAACTACGTTAATTTCTAAAAGTCAGAAAATCAATCTTAAGTGGTTGTTTATAGTTTTTTTTTTTTTTTTTCATTATTCGGATTCATCCAATTAAACTCTAACATGGTAGATTTAAATTTCAACAAGAAGAAAGTGATAATCACCACTAAGTAATCAATGCCCCAATTAAAGAAACCTAGGCCTAAAAGTCAGACACATACACCAATTCAGAGCAAACCAAGAACAATTGATGGAGAAAGGAGATGAGGAATTAGAAGACAAATAGACAGACCTCGGTGACAAATTTGGTCGTGAAGTCCATCGGAGCAAAGGCAGCTTCCAGTCGAATTAGTCCTAACCCAACACAACCCCCGGGAAACCTCACAGGGAAAACAAGCTGTTCTGTTTAGATTGTACTCCACATTGAATCCCTCAAACAGCAAGTCCCGTAAATCAACTGATGTATTATTGTTTTTGAATTCCTCTGCTTCACTTTGAAGAAACGGGACACTAATGTTCGATTCACAACCCGAAACATTCTTGTAAAGAACAGTACTTGGGTGGTTACTAGCATTTGTGCAGTTAAATCTGATTCTGGTGTCATATGCAGCATCATCAGGGCAACCATAAGACAGGGAAAGATATTCGACTTCTGGGCCAGGGCGGAAATTGGATGAAACGAATCCCCTGGTTACAGGACAAGAATTAATCCAGAGATCATCTTGTGCAATTCTGATGGAATAGCTTGTCCCATTTATGCTAAGAACCCGAAAAGTCTGGCCAGAGATGTCAATAGTTAGATGATTTTCTTGGTGACAAGTCAGATAGAATTCTTCCAGACCGCAATCAGAAGACTGGTTTCCACCCCAAAAAGGGTAGATGATGTTCGGAAAGTTTCTACCACAGCTGAAGACAGAACTACAGTTTCGGTAAAGCTGTCCATAATCATAATCCTGTGAGAAGGATGTCGGAGAAGTAATGGTAAAGACGAAGATGAAAATGAAGGTGGAAATGGAAAGGAAAGAAGGGCTCGAGAGGATTTGCATCTTTGGGAAGATGGCATTGAAAAAGGGATGTGGGAATTCAATTTAGGAAGATGATGAGTTTATTGAATTATTCAAAGCAGAGTTGCTAACCAAAATACCACCCAAATGTGGACCAAATCGACAATGATACGAGTCAAAGTTATTCGTGTAAAAGGAAGATGGATATTGCCAAATAGTAGTATTCAACTTATACCACCACCACCCTGGAATTCTGACTTCCTTTTTTTTTTTTGGGGGAGGAAGGGAGAAAATTTGCCCATTTGGAAAATTTCCCAGAAAATGTTATTCCCGTGGAAATAGAAAAACATGGGGAAAAAAGAAAAAGAAAAAACAAAAAAAAAAACTCAAAAAGCAGTTGGTGTAAAGGAGGGAAAGAAGATGTTGAAAGTTCTGGTGTTGAAAATTCAGCTTTGGTTCTTTTGGCACTATCCGAAATGAGCAAGAAAAACTGTACATTTCTAATGCTTTGGTGATGAGGTGAAGCCTAACCAGTGATTAGGTTAATTTGTCTCCAACCTGACTTCATTTAATTTAATACGTCGAAATCTTTCATTATGTGATGTAGAAATATAGAAATTCTTTTTCCTCCTGAAGAATTTTTTTTCTTTCATAAATTGTTATTATGGAAAATTGGGCTAAGGGATTTAAGATCAATTATAAGATAAGAACAGTCAGTACTACGAGTCAACAAATATACCTTCACCAATAAAAGTTCTATTTATCCGTGTATATATATTATTTATATGCATCTTGAACTCAAGAACTATTAAAAAATTAAACTACAACAGATTGTTTGCCACGGAACCGTAACAATCTTTGGCAGATTATGCTAGATTTTAGTAGTTAATTGTTAATTTACTAAGTAAAAGGGTGGAGTTGGACCATTAGTTTTGTCAGCTAGGAGGAAGAACAACATGTATAATAAATAATAAGATCTAAAATGTACGAGTTGGCCTATTCTTTAAATGCAAATTGTTGACTCTAGGCTTGTGGCTCTTGTAAATTGCATAACATTGACCCTTGACTTTCTCTTTATCTTATCAAGCTCATTTGGGGTTGGGGATGATGTGATGATTCGTTGATTTCCAAGTCTTCTCCAAGTAAACGGCTATATATAGTTCATATGAAGAGAAACGTTTGGAATAAATTTTTCTAAAACTAATACTATTTCCGTCCCAAAGAAATAACACAGACCAAGTATTTGATAATAACACTTGCAAAATATCGTATGAATATCAGTCACTCTCGTATTATTTGTTGTTCCCCGGTCAAATATAGATTATAGAAATGAATCAATCAAACACCAAACCAGTTCACCAAGTGTGTTTAATCAAAATTAGGGAGGGAAATCATAGTAAAGAAATTGGCAATGCTATGAGTAAATTGAATTTTACCTTTATGGCAACGATCAGGGGAAGTGGTGGTGCCGTTGTTGCAAAAACACAAGAACTCCTCCCCCTTGTCTCCATCCTTGAAGCCACAGCGTCCCCTGGAAGTTTCACAGGAAGAACACTTGTTATCAGCACGCCAATCCAGCACAAACCCGGAATTCATAGCCCTTTTCCAATAATCCAGAATAGTTTTCCCCTCTTCCGGTTTCGGATCAATCACTGCCGCGACCACCACTTTTTCCTCACAAATCCCAGACAAATAAAAATCTTCAGGATTATATGTATCGTCGAAAACATAGGACGCATTCCCACCAGAACTTAAACAATCAATCGAATTCCGATTCAGCTCCCGGAAGGGAAGAGTCGTATTGCAATTGAAGAAAAAAGTGAGGTTGAAATCTGCCCTGTTGTAAGCCAGAGGCAAATCTTCGAGAATAATTAGACTCTGACTTGGTGCAGGGCACTCGGGATTATTTTGAACTTGTGGATCAACTAGGGTCACCCTGCAATCGTTGTAACTGATGTTTTGAACCCGGAATTTCTCATTTTCGAGTTGAAGCGACAGAGCCCCATCCTGAAAATTGCAATCCAGGCCAAAACCTTGGTAGCCACAATGTGTAAGATCATAATCGGTGGCGTGGCTTTTGAGCCAAAATGGATATCTAACTTGTTGATTTCCGCAATACTCGACGGTCGAACAAAGCGCTAAGGTTTCATTGTTTTGGCCGTTGGATTCAATCAGAAAAGTGGAGAAGAGAAGAAGAAGAAGGTAAGGGAAGAAGATGAAGAGTTGAAGCATGATGGGTTGATCACAGGCAGGCCTCAAATTTTCTTGGATTAAAACCAAAAGCAAAATATTGGTCCATCGTAGTTGCTCCCACCACTCAAAACTATACAACTAAGTACTAACGCTATTAAATAAGTCCGTCAAATTAATACACAAAATCGCATCTTGAAAGAAATGAAACAGTATTACTACAGTGACGTTGACCACAGTGCTGGTGTGAATTTAAAAGCTCTAAATTAAACATTTTGTTATAGTAATACCGCACTGAAACTATAATTATGATCTCACACATCGTTTTTTCGAAAGAACATTTCTCAAAACGTCTAAATTAAACACCAATATATAAGACCCGTTCAAACGTCTAAATTAAGTTGGATTTTGAGTATTCTGCACGTAAGTACTGGGATTTTTCCTTGCATCTTCTAATCTTTTAACCATTGGTTCCGCCGTGAAACACATTTACTAATAAGCTTTCTGTTGTTGACAGTTGACACTCTTGAATTTTAACTCCTAGAAATGAGACTTAAACACTACTGAGAGACTCTTTGAGAGTTCTAGTCAGACTTGACCTCCAAAATAGTAGTAGACTCTAAATATCTTGTGGTTCTGGGTCAATAGTTATGCATAAAAAAAAAAAACACAATTTCTTCTAGGAAAAAATCTCAATTTGTTCTTTATTTTTTTCGGGGGGGTGGGTGGAAGAAGGATGACCGGAAAATGGAGTCAGCCGCGACTAATGAAGGGCTATTATAGTTTCTTTATTTGGGGTAATATTTTATTTTTATATGAAATATTAGTTTTCTTTAAATATTTTTAATCTTTATATTAGGAAGAATAAAATAAATCAAAAAAAAAATAGTGTCTTTATTGCTAAACTACAACAATTGTTCAACTTTTGTATTGATTTTAGTTCCACTGGACAAGTATAACATTTTTTTAAACAAAAACTTAGAATCAATTGTACTCTTTTTCTTTTCCCATTCATATTTATAGCTCTAATTCAAAGTAGATAACCTCTTTTGCCCGCATGGAAATGGAAAATAAATGCAGAAAAGCGTGAACAGTTCTTGATTCCTAGTGAGAGGATAAAAAGTGAACTTGCACTTACTGTAAAAGCTCCCATACTTCCATAACCAATCAATGTATTTCGGTAAATGATAAGTCAAAAGACTGAGGAACACAATCTGTACAGTTCTTCGTACTAACCAACACAATCACAACAAACAGATCTACCTACATCACTAGCTATTTACTGATACAATCAATCAAAGTTAGAGCAATCTAGTTTTTTAATCAATCTAGTTTTGGTTAAGCAATCTTTTTTTTCTCCAAAAAAAAAAAAAAAAGACAGAAAAAAAAGAGAAGAAGAAGCAGCAGATGGGGTCCTATAAGATGAGATTGACTGTGTTACATAATTTTGATTTTAGCTGGATACAAACTTTTCCCAGAAAGCATCTAATTTCCTCAAACAAGAAAAAGGTCACACAAGACATAAAGAATCTGAAGATACAATCACCGACATGAAATATGTCCCAATTTACCCCCTAATCAATCAATGTTACAGTACATTCCTAATGAACCAATGCTACTCTACAACACGCCAATTACTTTGCCAGTTTATTCACATGGCTGGAAAACAAAAGAAAGAATCAAAGAATGAACACCTAAAGAGTTTTGGTCGATGAAGGATCACGAGAGAATGGAGCTGAAGCTTTCCACTGGATCGGATTCTTCAAGCATAGACGCTGCTTGGAAACAGTCCACTGCATCAGCTATCCGACCATCATCCCTGTGAACTAAGCCCAAATGATACCACGCCAAACGATTGGTAGGCTCGAGCCTCAACGCATCAGACAGAAGAGTTCGAGCTACTGGCAACATTTTTGGGCCCCTTTTACATAACAAAGCACCAACCAAGACCTTGCAAGGCACATAGCTCGGTTCCAGTAAAAGGGCATTTGTATAAGAACTCACAGCTTCTTGAAACTCACCTCGTCTTTCATGCATAAGACCTGTGTCACGGTAATGGAAAGAGGACGTTATAGAAGTTTCCTACTGGAGGCATAGAATAGTCAAGTCCAGACCCCCTGATACTCAAATGCAATTCTATGATCCAAACATGTTGATTGACAAAACCAACTCACCTCAAAACATGTGTTAAGCAAAACAAAATTCAAAGGACAGTCCTAAAACTAATACAAGCGTTTGTATCAATATCCACTGAATAAAGTATTTTCAACGATAAGATTATTTCTATTCAACTTATGGTTAACTTGTCATGGACTCATGGCTGGTAAGCTAATTCAACTGGCAAGTTTTAAATCTTTAATACCTATTATGACATCATATTCCCTTGTTACAAATGTGAGTGTCTTTGAACTCATATTTAGCATAGCTAGGTAACGACATGAGTGATAATTCAGAAGATGTTCCTAGATCAGATTATAACTACTGGTATGTCAACCTTAACAGTCTTACATCGTTAATAAAGGATCTACCATGAGTAAAGTTAAAAGGTCAAGGCATGGAAGTAAGGATTACACAAATGTACAGCAGATCAAATCCATCATACTATATAAAGGTTACTATAAAAAACTTGCCTTCAGTGTGCAGTGTCTCCGCTGAATACTGTATGAGAGCTCTAGCTTTTCCCAGGCATATTTCAGCATCTTTCCAGTGTGAGAGGCTGGAGTACAAGTTTGCCAGACCATGCCAAACTTCATATTCACTAACTTTATTATCCTCTGTCTGCAATTAGAAAAAACACAAAGCATGAATCAAAATACAATATAAAGTTCAATCACATTTCAGAAGTTGGAATAGTTCATACACCACACACCCTCAACTTTTGGAATATGAAGCTTAAGAATTGGAAATAGAATGAAGCACTAAATTATCATGGTAACATAAAGTAAGAAATAGAAATCCAGTTCCATAACATATCAGGCATCACTTCCATATACACAAAGTTGAACGATGGTAAAATGATTGGCCAAGCTAAAGGAACTGATGTAACACCATGAGGCAAAAACAATTCTTTTTATTAAAAAATAAGAAAAATAAAAAAAATAAAAATGTTACCTGATGAGCAACTCTAAGAGGTCCATAAGATTTTCTTTGGGCTTGGACCAATGCAAGAAGGTAGCGATAAGTTTCAATGGCATCCGTGTGCAAGGACTGGGATATTTGCAGCTTTGCCTTCATCCTTAGTAATTGCCCTTGATCCCACTTTCCAGTCTCCTCTAAAGCAGCATCAATTACTACTATTGCCTCTGAATAACGTTGTTGGGCAGACAAAACCAAAGCAAGCAGTCTCCAACCTTTAAGTACAGATCCTCCAGTAGCATCAATATACTGCCTGGCATAACGCAAGGCTGCATTCAGATTTCGGTGCTCTGCATACTGAATGCCTAGCTCAAGAATCAGATCTGTGTTTTCTTTTTCTAATCCTATGGCAGCATCTAATGATCTCAGTGCTTCCGATTGAAGCCGAGACCTCTCAAAATCTGAAGAAGACACTTCTGCTTGTTTCCCCAAACAAAGACCTAACATGCGGAGACCTACTCCTTTTAAATGTTCATCTGGTCCTTCAGAATTAGAGATTGCTCTCTGTGCATACACCACTCCTTCGGCAGCAAGAAATCTATCTTCACAACAAATTTTGGCAGCCAATAACAAGGACAAAATATCATTTGGATCTTCATGCTTGTGTAGGGATTTCCTCAGAAGATTTAGAGCAGTACCATTCTGCGCAGCCCCACTATGGCAAAGTGCCAATGTTCTCCAGCGTTCAATACGATGAATTACCCCTGGCATGACTTCTTCCAGCAGCTTTGCTAATACAGAAGTTTGGCCACACAAACATAATCCAAATGTGAGGTGCTCTATAATAGATGGATCCCACTCGATCTTACCAAGATAAAATTTTCTCATAAGGATCATCAAAAGTAAAATTGCTTCTTCAAGATTGTTCTTGGGGACGTAAGACCCATCAATTTGCACAGCTAAACTGGGTGGTCCAACTTCTACACCACTGTACAGCAGAAACAAGGCAAATGCCTTTTGAATCCTTGCACAACATTCATTGTCAAGGTTCCATTGACTGAGTAGAGCACGTCGATAAGCAGACATAGCTTCAGAAAAGTTGCCAGATTGCTTCCACAGCTCTGGGAGCAGTTCAACTGCATGGCTAACAGTTTCTTGCAGCTTGTTGTCGACTAATACATCAGGTATCCCATCAAAAAATATCTTCTCAACAGCATCAAGTACACTTTTGCACTCCTGAGCAGCCTCTACAAAATCCCAGCAAATGAAGCTCTGTGAATAACCAAATCAAAAAATACAAATGAATAGATTTCTGTAACTAATTTATCATATTACGGGGCATTCAATACACTACTGAGCAATTGAAAAATTATATTATAGTAACTCAAGAGAACTTTTAAGTAGCTATCTACCATTTAGTCGCCCAAGCTTTTGAAGAGACTTGGCTTTCAAATATACGGCCTCAAGGACGAGGCTGGCAGCATGCTGTGAGACAGCATGCACAGAGTCAGATCTAGTTCGCCCCTTCTTCGAAGGTTGCTTTTCTGCAAGAGGTTGCATTCGCTGTATAGCAGCCTGAAGATCAATGCCATCAAACACCCGAAGCGCACCTTCCACATTCCCCCTTTGATATTCTAATCTTCCAAGAAGAGCACGTGCTTCCTGCAATAAAACGAATCATGTATGTCACGATGAATTTCTTTCCAGAAACAGATGCAGGTCAATATGAGTGGCCAAAAGAACAAGGAAGACATCAAATCTGAAAAAGGGAGGAGTATAAACACTTACAGATTTTTCATCACAAGAAATTCAGTTTTGCAAAATTACACAGTCCCATACCAACAAGTTGAATTATTAAAGGTTTTTTCTTCCAAACAAAGGCACTCTTTTTTCCTCCATTAACATGTTTCTCAACATCCTCAAAAGAAAAATTCAAATACAGGAGGTTCACATGAGAGCACCACCTCTTTTAAAATATAACAGTGGCAGCGAATGTTTTTGGCCCAGAGGCACAATTCAAAGAAGTTGTCCCTAGATCAGTAACTTCATCAGAGAACATGCATTGAAAGAAAGATCTCGTAGTTTTTGTAAGAGGAAAATATACAAATGTTAAACTGCTAGCACTCCCAGCTAGAGTCTCTTGTTTGCTAACACCTAGGTGTACATCAGGTTGTAGATTAACCAAATGAAATATTCACAACTCTCTTTTTAACCATTTGATTAATTAAATACTCTTAAAATCATTTCCGCATTGAAGATACATCATTGATCAGATAAATTTCATCCTTACAACTAATATAAAAATGAACAGTTAGTCCAGATTCCCAACCTCAAAATTGAGTGATAAACCTTCTCGAAGTGCAGATTCAGCCTCCTGAATATTTCCTTCATCTAGTTTCGCTTCTACAACAGTTGTGTGCATGCAAATCCCATTTGCACATACTTGCCGAGCAGAAGGGTCAGTCTCAGGCTGAACTATCTCCTGGGATTCATCCCCTTCCGACATCTCAGACCCTTCCCTTGCTCTTTACAATCAGATAACTCAGAAATGCATCAACGTCCCATCAATCTTCAATCCTTCCACAAATTGGTACCTTAATCAAATAGACGCTTATCAGGTTCCACTGTAATTGCAATTCATAAAACACAGAGAACAGAATAGAAAGCGCCTTACAAGCCAAAATGTGTACAATTAAACAAAAACAGATTAATAATATAATTGCATCACATATTCCGGTTGCGTTAAAAATCAATCTACAACAATCCCATCCCATTTCAATTATCAAATAATCATACACAATGGATAGCCATGGAAAACAAAAACTCATAACGAATCACACGTGAAATGATAAATCACAATTTCTCCACGAGTATAGATTTAAAACAGAGAACAAAAATGATGCATTCTAATCAATATAAAAAAAAAAAAAAACCCAATCACCCCATTATTGCAGATTGAAGAGACAATAAAATTAACAAAACTATCAAAGATTAGGATGCTTCCAAAAAAGAGATCTTTCTCATGTCCGCCTCCAAATTACCTCAATGAGTTTGCCGCCTCCAAGCTTATTGTATTCGCTCCAATATTATAATTGCCCAGAAAGAACGAGAAAAAGAGGCATTGACGCATGAAGCAAAAAGGGATTCAGAAAGGGATGGCAAGAATCCACTTGGAACGCGGATCAGAATCAGAGAGATTCAGAAAACAGAGGGATGAATCAAGAAAAAAACCCGAAATGTTCTTGAGGAAAAAAAAAAAAAAAGAAAAAGGAAAAAAGAAATCTTTTTTAGGGACTTTGACTTATGACGCGAAGTTCAACATTAGGAAACAAAGACATGAAAATGTGCTAGATTTAGTACAACGATTTTACCTCTGGACTTTCTTTCGTCCCATCAGTTTTGGGAAGTTGAATTCTTCCTTTTTCTTTTTTAATCCATTTTCAAGGTTGAATCGTAATAATGATGCTGACTCAGCCGGCTTCAAATTTTTTTTCCCCATTTATTCATTTCTTTAGTAAAATAATATACTCTCTGTTCTAATTAACAATTTACTTTAAAGATTCTAAATTATTTTTTGATATCAAAAGATATATAATAAGACTAAATACAAATTTAAATAATCATGTTACATTGAAGAAAGGAACAAACTTTTTTTATCTTTTTTTATGCAGTTTAGTGGTAAGACACCTCATCTGTTGACTAATAAGTTATGGTTCGAGTGACGTTGGAGGTAAATGGGGAACCAATTCCTTTTAAAAAAAAAAAAACTTTGCTAAATAGCCTGTGATGATACGAAAATGATTTGTGTGTACAATAATTTAAACATATATTAGCAACCATGATGGATACATTTGTAAAGACTTATTATAGTGCATACGGCATAATGAGAGAACAATTTGATACCTTTTCAAAACAATCAATATTGGACCAGCTTGGCCATTGTCTTTTCAAGTAAAACACCGAAATGATAACTCTATTAGGTATTGTTAAAGTTAAACAAATCATATATATAGTTGAATGCATGCTTTGCCATTTATAAGACGACACCGAATACGACTGGAACTTCGTTTGGAAAAGTTTAGTGATTACAAATATAACAAGTTTAATTTTATTGTTTGATGTAAGGTTTGGATGGGGAGTTAGTACTGTTATTATTTATAATCGAGTAAACAAAATACTTGGAATTCAACATAACATCCATAATTAAGTTGAAATATGACTCTAACTAAAAAGTTTCAATCAAAACACGTCATGGTACATTTAATATGAAATTTACAATACTTCCTACTTGTCATATAGATATTAAGAAAGTAATGATTGATAATTTAATTTTAAATATAATCTTTTTTTGTCCCTAATTAATAGTATTAGAAATATACAAACATTTGAAATGGAAGCAAAAAAATAAGTAGTTGTCATTAATATATGTTATTAAAAGTGGAAAGAGATAGTAGAAAGAGATAAGGAGAAATTAAAAAAACTATACTTAATGTTGCATTGGAAATAAAGTGCGGCATAAAAAAAAATGGGTTTATCCAAAAGTGAGAGATTAAAAAAAAATGGAGGAAGTATTGTGATTAAAAAAAATGGAGGAGTACCATGTATGAATTTCAATAATGAAAATATCGAAGGCATACTACTGGTGGAGCCATTAAATCCCACGGAAAACAATACAAAATTTAAGCAAGGTCAACCATTTTCGTCCCTAAAATCTAAAGTGGAAGAGTGGAGTAAAGGGCTCTGACATGCTGAATCGCATGGTGAAATACCCCAATGGACTTGTATTTAACTATTTATCGAAATAGGCTATATCTAGTTAACCAAGAGTTAAAAGCTCTAACTGAGTTCTTAATGAAACATTGTAACCGACGAAAAAGAGGAAAAGGAAAAAAATGGGCTGGCTTGCATTTATGAATTTTACTATCTCAATCCTCAGAAACGAAGCAAATTTAGATTTTATTCATCAAAATATATATATATATCTTACTATATTAGAAACAAAAACTACACTTGAGAAAACACCATCATTTGTCATGTGGCATTTCCACATCATATTTTTAAAATAAATTTTTATTTACACATCAGTTTTCTAGACTTAAAAGGCAAATGTAGTTCAAATCCACCACCACATCTTATTTTCACCAAAACAAAAAAAAAAAAAAACACAGCTTTATAAAAAACACAAATCCTCATCTCCATCTCCACGACAATGGACTCCCTAATCAATCCCTTCTCCACAATAAAATAAAAATAAATTACTCATCAATCATTAATTGAGAATATGTGGTGAAATATACTTCTTTCCTATTAGCATGTTCAATCTTTTCATTAGTGATAATCAACTACATCCTAATCAGATAAAATTTCGACTTCAAAAAATATTCTCTTTACCTCTCTATATAAACACAAAGGGAAAAAAAAAATTCTCATTGATGTTGCTTTCGGCCGTTGTGGTGGTGCCATTGCAGATATTAAAATTTAATGATTTTATATCCACGGATCATTTGTACAGCTTTTATTATTTTTTGTTTTTCCCGTTCAAGAATTGTGTTATTACTATTATTTTTATGCGTCCACTCATTACAGCTAGCGTAGCCGTTGTCAAGTAATATGATGTGATTTCTTATATGGTTAGTCAGCTTAGAATTTTTGTATGATTTTAGTTCTGTTTGAATTGAATTGATCAATTGGGTTTTTGTCACAAAGTGTGGTTTTTAAATTTCTTTTTTATGTTTTATTCATTTAGAGTGGTTTTCTTCTTTTTAATTATGGAGTCTCAGTTTTTTTTCGTATATGGTAAGTTGTGAATTGTATGTTTTCTTTGTTTAATTGCTTTTGATTTTGTTTCATATTCCCAGTTGACCAATTATTATTATTATTATTATTATTATTATTATTATTATTATTATTGCAAATGAAGCGCGTTTTTTTTTGTGTTCAGACTTTCAAGAATATACTTTTTGGATTTGGTTTTTGGACTTTTTTAAATTACTCATCATATAAATGGTTCAGGTCGCTTCTTCTAACTAATTTATGGGGAAGTTTTTTATGAATTTGAAGTGGAGAAAGAAGGAATGATGTTTCTACGTTTATTTGTGTTTTATACATCATTTTTACGTACAGGAAAAAAAAAATTTTCCAATTTTTAATGGACTCTTTTACTTATTTTTTTTATTTACCATAGTGAGGTGAATTCTTTTTTGCTATAACTTGAAACCTATGCAAATTTACATTAATTTTCATTCTCATATTTGTGATCAACCAGTTTCAACAATTAATCAGTTTCAAAATTATATTTTTGATATTTTACTAGCTATAAGTCTTTGGAAGGAACAGTTCCAACAATTAAACGTATACCCTTTGGAGGAAGCTTACTACAAAGCTATTATAAATCTCCAAAACCAAGTATTGATTTGGCACGACAAATAAAGAACATCAATAAATCATCTTACTAATATTTAAACTTATTCGGATGCTTTTATATTTTGTCTAACATTTACTTCAAGAGATATACTTGATCAAGTTTATTTATATTTAATAAGTAACACTTATAAAACATTTCTAAAATATTCAAACATTTCTAAAACGTACCGGGCCAAATACACTTTCTTTTTTTTGCCAAATACAAACATGTCTATGATCACATTTATAAACCATTTCTAAATTCTTCAAACATTTTTAAAATATATCGAGACAAATGCAAAATATTTTTTTTTCAAATACAAACATTTCTAAGATCTACAGATATATTGAGCCAGGGTCGCGCATTGCGCGACCAAACATCACTAGTATATATATATAGAATTATAAAGTTTACATTGATCGTCGTAGTTTTTGGGTTTTAATTAGGTGACAATGCCTTTTACATTTCTCCTTTCGGACAAACTGGGGAAATGACCAGGCAAGAATACTAATACCGTCACTTAACTAATCGTTGATTCTCAAAATGATTTCGTAGATTTAGTCCCCATAATAATATTACCTTGCAGGGAATTTAACGTAGAACAACACCCCTCCCTAACCCCCGCCGCCCCACCCCCCACCCCCACCCCCATTAGGACTTTGTAAATATCTATCAAACTCAGGTCAGGTCATGGGAAATAGTGAGTAGATTACTGCAAAGAGATTTTATCTTAGAAGAACCAAATGAGGAGCATGAAAGGGGAAATAGAGATTCCAAAATGCGCAAAATAATAAACTCAAAAGGAGGGAAGAATTAAAATTTTTCTAAACAAATATGAAAGACAGTGACAAAGAAAAACACATCCTTTTTTTTTTTTTTAATGAAAAAGACATCGTTGTTACTATATGTGAAAATCTTACAAATGATTTTTTGGTTTATTAATTGTGCGCATGCGTTTACTGAGAAAATAAGATATTAACCGATTGATTTTCCAAATAGGGTAATGAAGATGGGTTAAATCAAAAGTCTCCTTTTAAATCATCCTTTGCATAATATGGGGTGAATCGTATTTTCAAGATTTGAATCTTCTCTAACAGCATCTTTATTCGTGGTTAATAAGAAGTAAATTATTATTCTATTACACTCATCACCATTATATGGAGTGTAAAAAATTGTAATGGTGTAAGGTTTCTTACACTGTTGAATACATGGTTGGGTGGGCCATCATCCAATTAATGCATATTAGAAATTAAATTATTGTTTTGAAAATGACTAAAAAATCAACTAATTTTTCAAATGTTGGTCCATGATCATTTAAAAATATATTAATTATATCACATTGTTTATAGTATAAAACCAATATAGAAAAAAGTATAATATGACAAAATGCGGACATGGAATTCTATTTTCACATTCTATTAAAGAGTATGAAAGTAGCAATTTGTTTTCAATGTTGACGAATCAACTTCTTCTCTTTTTTACCTAATCTTGCTATAATTATCATAAAAAAATCGTCATGTAATTATTAAAAGAAAATTCAAAGTCGTGATGGGGATGGTAGTTTATTAATCGGTAATACGACCTTCGTCCCCAAAAAAATTGTCTACATTGAGTTTTCAAATTTGTATTAAAACAGTACAAAATTTAAAACTCAACGTGGAGTATTTTTGTGGGACGGAAGGAGTATTTTTTTGAGTAGTGATAGGTACAAGGAAAAAATGATACGGAAAATTGACGAGGAATGATATGTCAACATCTAAACTATGTCGTAACCTTAAATGCATAAATCCTGTTTGGAAAATTTTAATAATGGATGGGTTAGATCATTTCCTTATAAATTTAAGGTTACAACATAATTTAGATGTTGACACATCATTCCTTGTCAATTTTCCGTATCATTTTTTTCTTGTACCTATTATTATTCTATTTTTCTTTTTTATGTAAAATAAAGATTGATCATAAGTAGAAGAGTTCTTAAAAAGATTTTAGAAACTTCAATGAATTTTAATCAAGTTAAGGTGAACAAAAGTATTGGGTTGTGAAAATTTAATGACCACTGTATAAATATGCACAATGTTGTAGCTCCCCCTGAATTCAACCATCCAACAACTATCGGGGCCCATAATTAACATTTCTTAAATATTAGAGGGGCACCGTAGAAAATCTTATGTCGGAAAAGGGAATTTAATTAATCACGCTGTTGTGTGCAAAAAAAACCCGTTGAGAACCAAGGCGGCGATATTTTGACGAAACGTAATTAAAGAAGAACACGAGAAATTGAACTAGCCGTTGGCAAGTCCGGAATTCAAAATCCAATTAATCGGCCTCCCCCGTTCTCTCTGTCACTTTCTCAACGCCTAAAATCCGCTTTTTCTATTCTTTCCATATCTCTCTCTCTTTCTCAGGTTTTCACTCTGCTTGATTATTGGATCCATTTCCAAAACCAAATCTGCTCCAAAACTAAGGTAAGTTTCTGGTTATTTCGGTTCTGAATCTGTTTTATCTCCTTCCAGGTGAAATTTTGATGGTTATTAGGAAGTAAATTTCATACTTTTCTGACGTATGTAAATTTTTTTTCTCTCAATTTTATGTCTGATTTCAATCTGTGACAATTGAATAGGAGGTGGAAGAAAATCGATATGAAATGATTTTTTTGCATTCTAGTTTGTTTGTCGATCCTCAAGCAAGTTATCAATTTTAGTTATTCTCACTTTGGGAAATGTCTGGTCTTTTGATAAGATGATCGATGTTTACTTTGAAAGCCACAGAGCAGTATGTCGATCTGGAATCGAATTTGAAAATTTGAAGTTCAGTAACTGAGAAGCTGACTTTTTTTTTTTTTAAAGGGAAATTCATTTAAAAAGTTCCAATCAATTGGTCAGTTCAATGAATTTACCTTCCTTTTGATAAGTCCACAAACTAAGAAGACATTCCTTTTATGGATATTGACTGAGAATTCCCTGCTGAATTACATAAAATTGGCTCTAATATTCAATCCATATTTGCACTGCAGGTATTTGATTTTGGGCTACAAAGAAATCACCAGTGGCATCGTTGAGTCAGAAGTTGATTTGTTTCCTTAGGCCTCTCCTTGAGAGTCCTTAAGCTTGCCCTTTTCAGTGGTCTATTCAATTTTTCTTCTCTGACCATCAATCAGAATGACAGTCATTAAAACCCCTGGCACCCCTGCTTCAAAAATGGACAGGACACCTGCAGGGACCCCCCAGCATGGTGGTCACAGAGCAAAAGAGGAGAAAATTGTTGTTACTGTGAGGTTAAGGCCTCTGAACAAAAGGGAGCAATCGGCAAAAGATCACATTTCGTGGCAGTGTCTCGATGATCAAACAATAGTGTACAAACCTGGACCCCTGGAGAGGATAGCTCAACCAGCCATGTTTACATTTGGTAAGTGACTTCTGGGAGTTCTACAATGTAATGCCACCATGGCATCTGTCCTTTTTCTGTGATTAAAACCTGTTGAGATTGGGTCCTTGTGATCAATGCAGATAAAGTCTTCGGTCCTGAGAGCTTAACTGAAAGTGTATATGAAGAAGGAGTAAAAAATGTTGCTTTGTCTGCTTTAATGGGAATCAATGGTAACTTATCCTGCTTTTGTTTCCCTATGCATGATTAACCATTGCTTTTATAAGTTGTTAATTGTTAAATCAATCATCTGCAATGTGTAAACTGTAGCTACAATATTCGCATACGGGCAGACTAGTAGTGGAAAAACCTACACAATGCGAGGGATTACAGAGAAGGCTGTGAATGATATCTACATGCACATTTTGAATGTAAGCTTTATCAACAGACTGTTCATTTTGTGCATTATCTTCTAAACATGTATTGGTTCTTAACTATCTGGGCATGCTTGCTTTTCTTTGCATCCTTTTCTTTTTTCAGACTCCAGAAAGAGAATTCAGGATAAAGATATCTGGGCTTGAAATCTACAATGAAAATGTTCGGGATTTGTTGAATTCAGAATCTGGCAGGAATCTTAAGCTTTTAGACGATCCAGAGGTAAATTTTGAAGCACCTTATCAATAGTGGTTGTAGTCAATAGATTTTTAATCTTCCCTTGGTTTATGTATTTTAATGGTAACTTTTGCATGCAGAAAGGAACCATGGTTGAGAAACTTGTTGAAGAATCAGTTAGTGATGATCAGCATCTAAGAAAACTAATCAGTGTATGTGAGGGTAAGTACATGTTTAGCATGCACTATTTGGTTATGTGTCACTTATTAGATTACTTGCATCATCTTAATAATGTAATGTCTACTTTACAGCACAAAGGCAAGTTGGCGAGACTGCCCTAAATGACACTAGTTCAAGATCGCATCAGATTATCAGGCTGGTATGCCTACTTTGGTAGAGATACTTGCATCTGTTGGCAATGGAAATAAGTAGCCATCTCTTTCGTCTCACTAACCGAAAATATTTTGGATATCTCTATTTCATGCAGACCATAGAAAGCACTCTTCGTGAAAGTGCAGAATGTGTGCGATCCTATGTTGCAAGCTTGGTGAGAGATCCAAAACATTGTTTAAATTTTGTGCTTTTTCGCGGAAGCACAATCTTTTTATCAGCTAATATTTACACTCTCATGTTTTTCTTGCAGAACTTTGTTGACCTGGCTGGAAGTGAAAGAGCATCTCAGACAAATGCAGATGGTGCTAGGCTCAGAGAAGGCTGCCATATCAACCTTAGCTTGATGACTCTTACCACTGTGATCAGGAAGCTCAGGTCACATAATCTTTCAATAGAAAAAGTTAACTTTTGGCAAAATTTCTGATGCTACTAGTCTGCATAGGAAAATGGAATAAGAAAAACAAAAGTTGTTTTTCTGATCTTTCAATATATACATTTACCATGCTAAAAGGGGAGTTTAGGCAGTTGCTGAAGTTGAAGTCTTTCTCTTTTAGCTCTGTGCATTATTGTGTCAAATATGGCACTCTTGAGTACTGAAGCCTTCTTGATTCTATAATTTATTTGCAGTGTGGGAAAAAGAAGTGGCCACATTCCCTACAGAGATTCAAAGCTGACACGCATTTTGCAGCATTCACTTGGAGGAAATGCTAGAACAGCCATCATATGCACTTTGAGTCCGGCGTCTAGTCATGTCGAGCAAACGCGCAACACTCTTCTTTTTGCTACACGTGCAAAGGAAGTGACAAATAGTGCTCAAGTGAACATGGTACTTTATAAAGCATATTGCCTGTTTTGAGAATTGTATGTTTGTTTTTCTTTCTGGAACTACACCCTAATGCTCGTTCGAACGTTCTTTCAGGTGGTTTCAGAAAAACAGTTAGTTAAGCATCTGCAAAAGGAAGTAGCCAGATTAGAGGCAGAACTGCGCACACCTGACCCATCAAATGAGAAAGATCTGAAAATTCGTCAGGTTCAAATAATATCTGACTGAAGCCTGATACTCATTTAGTTTGTTTTTCTCATCTTTTAGTTATCGTAATTTTATTCTTATATTACTGCTTCTTTGCTATATAGATGGAGATGGAGATTGAAGAATTGAGGCGCCAAAGGGATCTTGCAAAGACAGAAGTAGATGATCTGCGCCGGAAATTACAGGAGGACCAGGTATCTCTCTCACCTGATTCTTCTGCACAGGGCGTGCATTTCTTTTGTGAAACTTTTGATGCAATGTCTACATATTATTGCACTTCATACCAGAAATTAATGAGTGTGAGCTTATCTGGTATTATTGGCATAATTGTTTGTATGGCTGAATTCAATTATGCATAATCTGACATACAATGATCTATCTCCCAAGTATCACTCATTTTCTGTGTTTATCTTGTGTCTATAACTTTGTTCAGAGGTTGAAGATTTCGGAGTTATCAAGCCCTGTAGCAAAGAAATGCCTCTCATTTTCTGCAGTACTATCACCAATGGAGGGAAAAGAGCTAGGCCGTGGGGATAGAAATAGGAATACTATGGGTAGACAGACGATGAGGCAATCATCAACTGCCCCTTTCACCCTAATGCATGAAATTAGGAAGCTTGAACACCTGCAGGAGCAGCTTGGAGATGAAGCCAATCGAGCATTGGAAATATTACAGAAAGAGGTAGCTTGCCACAGGTTGGGCAACCAAGATGCTGCAGAGACAATTGCTAAGCTGCAAGCCGAGATAAGGGAGATTCGTTCGGTCAAACCTGCTCCTAAGAAAGTTGAAGTCAGCGGTGGTCTTGCTGTGAATAAGAGTGTCAGTGCAAACCTGAAGGATGAGATAACCAGACTTCACTCACAAGGAAGTACAATTGCAGATCTTGAAGAACAGCTTGAAAATGTTCAGAAGTCAATTGACAAACTAGTAATGTCGCTTCCAACCAACAATGATCATCAAGAAGCTGATACAGATTCGCCACTGAAGACCAAGAGTCAAGCAAAAAAGAAAAAGTTGCTTCCACTTGCTTCAAGCAATGCTGCGAACAGGCAGAACTTCTTAAGATCCCCTTGCTCTCCTCTGTCAGCAACTAAAGATGTAGTAGACAATGACATTGAAAACCAAGCTCCTCAATATGATGATGTTGTGTCCACTGAAACTCAGTTGACGGAGAAAGAAACACCTACAAAGAGTGAAGATGGTGGAGATATCTCATCAAAGGAAGGAACTCCCTACCGTCGTTCAAGTTCTGTTAACATGAGGAAAATGCAAAAGATGTTTCAGAATGCAGCAGAAGAAAATGTTAGAAGCATAAAAGCATATGTTACTGAACTTAAAGAGCGTGTTGCCAAGCTCCAATACCAAAAGCAGCTTCTTGTGTGTCAGGTAGCTTGCTTTCAGATTTAATTTCTCTTGAGCCCAGTTTCTCTTGAAATCTGTATTTGGTTTATCTGTAACCTTTTGGAACTCCAATTTGGTTTCAGGTTCTTGAGCTGGAAGCAAATGAAGCAGCAGGATATGAAATGGAAAATGAGGAGGACCTTCCCCCAATCCAGCAGGAATCCCCTGCATCTTGGCAAGCAATTTTCAGGGAGCAAAGACAACAGATTATTGAACTGTGGGATGTTTGCCATGTCTCCATTATTCATAGGACGCAATTTTACCTACTATTCAAAGGTGACCCTGCTGATCAGATATACATGGAAGTGGAACTCCGGCGTTTGACTTGGCTACAACAACACCTAGCAGAGATTGGAAATGCAAGCCCTGCTCCTCGTGTTGGAAATGAACCTACAGTCTCCTTGTCAAACAGGTTTGATAATATTTTTTTCAATCATGAACATTTTGTAACAATGGCTTTACATTTGAGGCTGAACATTTTTCTGTGATGCGCAGCCTTAGAGAATTGAAGAGGGAAAGGGAGTTCCTTGCAAAGAGGTTGAAGCGTTTGTCTGAGGAAGAAAGGGAAGCGTTATACATTAAATGGGAAGTTCCACTAGAAGGACAGCAGAGAAGAATTCAGTTCATCAACAAATTGTGGAGAAATCCACACGACGAAAGGCATGTTCAAGAGAGCGCCGAGATAGTTGCTAGGCTTGTGGGATTGTGTGAGAGTGGAAAGATATCAAAAGAAATGTTTGAACTCAATTTTGTGCTTCCATCTAACAAGAATCCGTGGATGGTTGGGTGGAACCAAATCACAGATCTCCTTCATCTGTGAAGACTTCAATATTCTTTTTCTCCTTTTGTAATTAAATTGTGATACCATCTTACATTACATTGAAAGAAGCCTTATATATGAAATTACTCTTGACAACATCTCTTTGATTGTTGTTCCAACTTCCAAGTAAGAATTCAGTTGTTCCAGTTTTCAAGTTCTATTAGTTGCTCAGAATAGGGAAACATTTATGCGGTAAATAAATAGTAAGCAGGTGTATGTTATTTATTTCGATATTTGTAAATAATAGAGACACATACAGCAAGTCACAATAATTACTGACTTCTTGTATGAAGTTTATGTCATTAACAATTAAGATTACTTCAGTCAAATCTTCCTAAGAGAAGATCATACCTGATACCACCATTCACATGCACATACACCTAAGCAGATTCACAGTGTGAACCTTAAGTTGGACACTTAGGGATGGTAACATTACAGGCTTTGGCTATTTTTGTGGCAGTGGTGGAGTTAAAGAATTGCGGATAAGTCTTAGCATACTCGCAAGCACAGGGGAGTACTGTCTTGATCCCGTCGCAGCATGCCTTAGTGACCGGGAAACCGAAGACAACCGTGCACAAGGCTGAGCATTACTGATATCGCATGTTTGAGCTGTCGAAACCTTAGCTTGATGATGAAAAAGCAACAGAATCAGCACAGCACAGGCATAGATGAACACTGCAGTGCATGAAGATCCCTTCATCATCATCATGATCTTTGGTAGTAAATGATGTAACAAGATTGCTTTGTTTTGGCAAAACTATAGAATGATATTCATTTGGCAGGATTTTCACTCCTATTTATACCAACTGCAGTACCAAACTTTGTGGAAATTCTGGCTCCTTTCTACTTCCTAGTACTTGGACCATACTTTTTAGGTTCAGAAGCTAAAAAGAAAGGTAAAAGCAAAAAAGAGGAGTTCAAATGCTCCTTGTAATTCATTTTTCCAAATAAAAGCTATTAATACATTTTAGTAGGAAAAAATGGCTATCCTACCCAAAGCTTTGCCCTCGGCGTCAATTTTACCCAATAGATTTTTAGTTAGCCCTACCCCAATGTTTGAAATAATCGCCAATTTTGTCCAATCGTGCTATTTTCCGTCCAAGTTAACGGATCTCCGTTAATTTATTAATAAAATAATCGAATTAATTACACAGACACCTCAATAATTTTTAAAAAATTTAAAAATAACCCTTGAATTATATAAAAATAACAAATAGTCTATTTTTAATTTTTATTTTATTTTTCTCTATTTCATTCTATTTCTCTTTAATACTTTTAATGACCATAAAATTAAAAGTATTTTATTTTAAAATTAATAATAATAAAGCATTTTATTTTTTAATTAATAATAATAATTTAAAATAATTATAATACAGTCTTTTAAAATTATTATTAATTTGAATTTTAAAATATTTTATTATTAATTTAAAATAATAAGGAAAAGGATTTTAAATTAATTTTAATTTAAAATAAAATACTTTTAAATTAAAAGAACAAAAATAATTTTATTTTAATTTATTATTATTTTATTTCTTAATTATTGAAAAATAAATGTTAGAGTAAAAGACAAAAATACCCCTGTTGACCTGACGTCCGAAATGGTCAAACTTTCTAAATAGTGTTAGACGACCAAAAAAATATTGAACGTAGAAGTAGAGCACCAAAACAGATAAATGTAGATGCTGAGGACCAAAATGTGCAGATCGCCTTATGTAAAATACCAATTTTGGATTTCAGTCTTGTATTTATATAAACATATTAATTTGTTTTTAATAATTAACGACAAAATTTTTCTTCTTTTTTTTTTCAAAAAAGAAATCATCCCAGTGGACCCAACTAAAATATACTAATAAATTATTTTGTTACATGAGCTAAATATTTTATTTTTATGTGTGGTATTAGTTTTAGTTAAATATTTTTAATCTTTATATTCGGAAAAATAAAATGAATCAGAAAAATATTATTGTTACTGCTAAACTATATTATTAAAAAAATTAATATGTTTGTACAAATACAATCATGTGTTACAACTATATAAAGATTAATTTTTACGGTAGAGTATGAAAATAAATAACTATTTCTTTAAAGATCATATAATATAATTTTATGGTCATTAAAAGTATTAAAGAGAAATGTAATGAAATAGAGAAAAATAAAATAAAAAATTAAAAATAGACTGTTTTGTTATTTTTTTATATAATTCTAGGGTTATTTTTATATTTTTTAAAAATTGTTGGGGTGTTTGTGTAATTAAGTTGATTATTTATTAATAAATTAACGGAGATCCGTTAACTTGGATGGAAAATGGCACGATCGGACAAAATTGGCAAAAATTTCAAACATTAGGATAAAATTGAGTAACTAAAAATCTATTGGGTAAAATTGATGACGAGGATAAGTTTTGGATAGGAACGTCATTTTTAGACCCTTTAAAAGCACTTACAGAGACCAAATAAAGATCAAGAGGCCGAATTAATAATACGATAATTCATCATCATAACATAACATCATGGGAAATACTCGCAAAGATTATTCTGATCGTACATAATGGGCGCAACATACAAACCATGTTGGCCTAGATAACTAAGATCACAACTGCAATGAGCTTTTTTAAGATAAGAACATAATAAAAACCGCATAAGGAAGAGCAGATTAAACCATGCGCATGGATTAATCTACCTATGCATATTAGAGCCTTTGAATTAATTAACACTTAGGGAAGGAAACTCCACAAGCTGAAGCAACCTTCTTGGCACCAGGAGAGTTTACAATACTGCTGAACCTAGGGTCCTTAGCATACTGGCAAAAACAAGGCTTCTGGGATTTCATCTTGGTGCAGCAAAGTGAGCTAGGTGCGCCTCCGACAATCGCCGGAGCGCACGGGGCGAGGTCATTTGGGTTGCATGCAGCTTCAGACACATTGGCATTTGCCACCAAAAGCAGCACTGCCACAGCACAAATTGCAATGCAGTTGGCCTTCATTTCTGTTTTGGCTAAAGTTAAAATATTCAAAAGGAGATGATTGAGTTCTAGTTTTGCTTGGTCCATTTCCTATGATTTGATCCTAGATTTATAGGCGTAGGAAATGGCAGGCCAAACATGCAAGGGAAATTGCATCTGTTGCTTTAACTAATTAATGGCTGGAAATTTTGGTTTTTCGATTCAAAATGGTTGGCAGATATGGAAATTGTTTTAAGAATTTGGCAGGTGACTGCCTGATTAGTAGTACTAGTCCTAAATACTACCTGTGAAGGAAGGAACACGCACCCAATGGTCAATAAATCATTGGGGCAACTCTAATTAAAAGCGTGGGAAATAGGTGAAATTCCTTTTCGGAATTTATCATAATTGTACCATTTCCGAATTCTGGTGCAGTTAGGAATTGCTCTCAATTGTCCTTAATCTTTTGATTAGATTGAATTTGCGGATCTGACATGCATTTGTTAATCTGTCTGTTTCCAAGACTTTAACACCGATTAATTTGGAACCATCTTCATACATCTAGAACCCATTCCTCTTTTCCCCCTCAGAAGAAAGACTACAGTAAGGAATTTCACTGTATTCATGTTAAAAGGTAAGATAAGGATTCAAAAAACTGTAACTCACGTAGGAAATCCAAACTGTTTCAACTAGTACATGTCCTTAAAGTATATATGTCTATCACCAGACACCAATGTACCAACCCAAATCTGACCAGATCACCGGCATTTAGCCGGAATCAGGTCTGACGATGGTCCAAGACCAGCAGTAGCGATTCTGGTGTAGGCCTGTAGGGCCTCTAATATGGTGGGTGAAAACATTGAGCAGTAATCTGACAATATGGTATAGTATGCATCATAAGTAAATCGAAAAAATAACAAATGTGAAACGTTTAAGACTAGAAGATGAATGATCATGCCTTCTTCATGGGCAATGAAGTTGCCCCTTTGATGCCTAACATTGATCTGCATACTTCATGAGATTGAGTAAATTCTTTCAACCACTATTCATTTACAATGCATACCATATGAAACTACAACGTGTGGGTACAAGAGACGATCATTACATCAAGAGGGTAATGTAGTTCAAGTGGAAAACAAGCAAGTATATCAAAGAAGGCACAAATGAATCAACTTGTACAAAGAGAACTAAAGATCCTCAATGATAAAATGTCGATAAAAGCCAAACCGCTGCTATACACAATTCACAGTGGAGGGCAAACATGGTAAGAACGAGCGATCACAGATGATTTGACAGGAATGCTCTGGCAGAATCACCGGATTTTGCCCCCAGGGAGAAGAGAGTCAGCAGACCCGTTGAAACTCTGTAGATTAAAAAACGATTAGCTGAATTTTGCGCAAGTTTTGACATCTTCAATGTATTGATAAGTTGGAAAACCTACTTGTTTCCATTAGAGCCAAACAAAGGAAAAAAAAAAAAAACCTCGCTGGAATGTGAAGCCCTGTTAAGAGGGATGTGTATTTAATGGAAGCAAGTTTGTGTAACTACAAAAAAAAATATAATCATAGATACCCAAAGATCATAGGCATCAGAGTGCTACTGGTTATCTCAGTTGATCTTTTTTGGAAGTAGTTATTCAGTTGATCAAAACTGAACTGCTTCAAATATATCTTTCCTCGGACTTCAATTGTTTATCTTGGGATTTAAATGTGTAAGGTTACAGTTAGTGCGAGTAGCAAATCGAGAACTTTTTGGTTCAATAATGGCTTTGTTACATGGTACGTCTATGTCATCAATGTCTTCTAATTTCTGTTAATGTTCTTTGATGATTCCCCCCCAGTCTTATTCACACAGCAGAAAGTTGAACTAATTCCAATTCGACAGGCAGAACCGCATGAATAGGACTGGAGGAAGTAAAAGGTTGTATACTTATTTCTGGTGTCTGAATCATAGTAGTAAAAGCTATCAAGTCCACAGAAAAGAGAGAAACAACATTTTTACATTCTCACTTCCTAGTATTTTCCTTCCAAACCTAAAGGGGACTAACCGAAGTCACAGTTACTGGACTAGCCCCGTGCAGCACTCTTCATCCAAGTGCATAATGTAAATCCAAAATACATATGCCTACATTACACGTACATGTATGCCTAAACTAGTTGTATAGAGGCTAAGTTGACCGTGGTGGTGAGGAAAAAACTCCATAGTGTTCATGTAATAAAACATCTTGCTTGTCAGAAATTAAAAAATGTGGACTTACCAGGCAAAATTGTTCCAGTGGAGAAATGCACCATGACCCCTAGCACTAGAGAACTTATAATTTGGCCCAGAAGCTAGCATACAAAGAATGAAGAGTCAATGAATTGCAACCAAGGAAAACTTCTTTATGGAGTCAGCAACCAAGAACTAGAGAGAGCTTAGGATTTAAAAGTACCTTCATAACCCTGAAGGACAGGATCCTCAGCTAATAAAAGAGGTGTATCCAAGTCAATAAATCTGCAGAAACAAATGTAAGTCAGGATAAAACAAAAGGCACGTGAAGTCAGTCTGTTGTAGAGCTTAATATTGGGTCTTATTAAAAAAGGCATATAAAATTCAAAAAACAATTAGAACAGATGTAATTGCGGGATAAAAGCTTTGATGTTGTTGTTGTATCAATAATAGACGCAATTTCATCTTTTGTAGCTAGTGACACTGTCAAATGCATTCAATTTCAGGTGTGAGTTGCTCATGATTGTTTTTACCCAGCAATCCCAAGGAATAGAGACTTTAAAAATGCTTCTTATGACCATTTATGATGAAGAACTTATTCCAAGGAATGAAAATTTGATGCTTACTTGAAACACCCAAGGCCGGCAGCAAGATGCCCGGCAAAGCCCATTGCTAGTCTAGTCTCAACCATGCCACCAATCATCAAATCCAACCCTGATTCTCTAGCCAAGTCAATTATTTCAATGGCTCCAATTACTCCAACTTTAGCAAGCTTAATATTCACAACATTTGCAAGCTTTTCCTTCGCTATCTTCTTAACATCCGCTAAACTACGACAGCTTTCATCAGCAGCAACAGACACCCCATATCTGTCTCTGGCATTTGCAGTGACCTGACCTAGACCTTCCCAATCATCTCTGTGAACTGGTTGTTCAAAAAGGATTGGAGTCACACCCATTTCTGCACAGAAAGTAGCATTTTTTCACATACAATGTATAACTGATGTTCATTAAACAAAAAAATTATGCACAACAAAGCAATTGTGTAATTTTCTATATCCTATTTCACAGGACATTGAACATCTAGATCATAAACATTTTTGCTCACTTCTTTATCCTCTGGGGAACACGTTGAGTGAAAATGACGTGTCTATAACTTAACTGAGGCCATACCATGTAATATCTCCAGAACTTCAATGGCTTCCCTGGATGTGTACCCTTCATTTGCATCCAAAATGAATGAGCAATCCGGATGGGAATTGCGTATGGCTTGAAGTACCTCAATATCTCCATGGAGATTCTTACCCACTTTTAGCTTCAACGTCTTGAACCCTTGTTTTCGGTACATAGAAGCAAGCTCAGCTGCTTCTGCAGCCGAAACTATTGGAATCTGCAAAAGGGCGAGCATAACTAAATTCAGGACTTTAAGGTAGAGGAATTCTTGATACAAGTGCTCTCACGAAACAACACCAGTTATTTTACACTCTGTGGCCCATGATAACATAATTTTTACACAACATTAGGTAAATATGAAAAACCACTTACAGTTATATCAGTAGTGATTGTATTTGACGCACCACCAAAGAGTCTCCACAAAGGAATTCCAACACTGGATGCAGCTGCATCAATCAGTGCCATCTCAACCCCTGCTCTGACCTTCATCAATCAAGGGAAAGTTGGTTAATATCCAGAAAACCTTCAAGACTCAAAGCTATAAAGAGAACTCGTGCCCTATTCGTCTTAATGTCATGAGTTTCCTAGCAGAGGAGGAACATGGTATCTAGATTCTTAGCAAAGACAAGAATAGGACCTAGGTGAAGCATTTTCGTAATTAAGAGAACAAAGAAAATCATAAAATATAGTCCTGAAGATGCTATATTGGTACTTGGTACTCTGCACTTGATCATATGAATCATCAAAGCAGAGGACAGAACCATAAAACTAAGAGAAAGAAAAAAAAAAAAAAAAAACCACTCTCAGACCCTAAACAAGCTGAATTATGATAAGTCAGAAATATGAAATATCTATCTGGATGGCTTTCATCAGAAAGTGTGACCCAAAAGGGAAACTTTCCAACACAAAATAGGGTATGATGCAGGTGTCATAACTTCAAAACTTAGCATTTATTGGCAGACAGAATCGTCATCATTGAACAACTTCAATCAGCTAGTAGAACAATTAACATAGTTCGAACTAAAATGAAGTCATTCTCGAGTGCTGGGAATCAGAAAACAGACGGACCAAATCCCACCAGCCCAAAAATTAACCACCTGAAACAACTTAGATAGAGACATACCGGAAGAAAAAATAAAAAATAAAAAAATAAAAGGCCAGCAGAAGTACACAAACTTCCATGTACACAGCTATATTAAAAATAATCTCAAATTTCAGAAACCAAAGAGACTGGCAAAAACTCACAGAAGCAAATTGGTGGCCAGGAAGAAGTTGACCAATCTCCTCCAAAACCGAGAACAAACTCTTCCGGGGACTCTGCCTCAGAAACTGACAAGCCTCTGCCACCTTGTCCAAAGCTGTGGGTTGATCCTCTGCAGTTACAAACGGCAGAATTGGGGCTTCACCCCACCCAACACTTCCATTCCTCAATTCCACTCTAATCGCCACGTTCTCCACTTTATCCAGCCTTGATGAAGCAATCGTGAAAGGGGAAATTAACGGCACATTTAACGGCCGTCCCTCTGCTCTCTGAACATCAACGGTTACCGTCGAAATCAAAGTCCTGAACCCAAAGATTCCACCTTTATCCTTCTGTACAGTCTCCAGGCAAGAGGAATTGATTTCCAGCTTGCATTTCTTCAAATTGAGTTGAAAGATCGGAGCTTTACTGATTTCCCTGTACAGTGGTGAAGAAAGGAAAGGGGACTGAGATGTGGAGTATAGAGAAAACCCAGTTGGACCCATTTGTTTTGGAGGATTTGGGTGTTGAATTATGGGTTGATTAAGGTGATTTATGATTGGATTTGGAAAGGGGTTGGCCGGCAAGATGATCTGAAGTAGCAGCCATTGTTAATTTAGTATACCCTTTGGTGATCAGAAAGAGCTGATTAGTGGAGACCTTATTTTAATTAAAAAAAAAGGTTTTTTTTTATACCTTATAAAATATTACAAACATCTTTCTTTGTATCATATTCTGTTCCTTTTCTGTTTGTCATTGGTGCAATTTGCAGTGAGCTGAAACCTATGTATATATATGATCACCAACTACCATTCCTCTTTATAAGCTGATTTCAGTTTCAGCTTAGTATGTCATACTGATTTTTTGCATAATTATTCTGTGGCATTTGCATTCTCGATTAAAATCTTGTATTCATTTGATTGGTGACTCAAGATCATAGAAGGTCCTTATTGAGACAAAGTCACTACACTCCAAAGTCCAAAACTGTGAAGAGAAAACTCCAAATGGTTTGAAAATGACTCCTGAAAGAAAACATTTTCAAATTTCAGCAAACAAATGAACAATGGATATTCATGCATGCAATTGGGGTTATTTTATTTGTGCTCCTTGGAGTTGTCTAAATCAAAGTCTCCTAAGTCCTAACAACCGCTATTTTGGTTTTTGGTGCCCCCAATGGCAGCTTAGTCAGAGATAGAGAGAGAGAGAGAGAGAGAGTTGATTAAATTCATGGGCTTAAAGAGACAGAATTGGATAAAATTGATAAAAGAAAAATTAGAAAGTTGACAAATGTTAGACTCCCTTGATTTTGCTTTTTTGTTCTTTTTTTTTTTTTTCTAAACTCAAACTCTTGGCAATAATCTTCCTTCTTTTGCAATCATGCATAAAGAAGTGAAAAGATGGTTTGGGAAAGCAAGAAAAAGGAGAGGGAAGTAAGGAATATGTTTGAGAAGCAATTTTCCTGCCTTTTAGTTTCAGCTTGCAACTTCCCTTTAATTGTAATGGATTCACAAATAGGCCAAAATAATACTACCACAAAAGAGGAGAATTTAAAGTTTGGACTGGCATTTCTGATCAAGAAAGGTAGACAACATAATGGCTCGGTTACATTGCATAAAAGAAAGTTGCCTTTTTGCAGAATCCAAAGAGGTTATTCCCTCTGGAAATGGATGATGTATGAAGTTTCAAAAGTCATGCCAAAGAAATACCTTTCTTCTGGCATCGTCACTTCCTTAGAAATCAAGCTTGCTACCAGCAGATTTCTATAAACTCATGATCTGATATTCCTCATTCTGTCACCTAAAATTCCTAAACTGAACTGATTGCAATTAGATATCAATATGGCTTCTTATTCAACCAACTACGACAATGGAGCCACAAGGTTGAAGCTCTTCGGCCGTGGACAAAGATCAGTACATGCTGCCCTAGGTGGCGGCAAAGGTACATCATTCAATTCCATGTATAATGATTTTGAAAGCACTCTTCAATAAGTTGAAGTATACAACTTCAATAGGAGACGGCCTAATCATCGTGTTAAGAGATGCACATTTGATCCTCAGGATCAACCCCTTTGTTCAATTTCAACAAAAAGAAGTGAATTTTCATGCTGCGATTTCATATCATTTCTTTCTGTTTAATCGTATTGTTCATGATGAACATCTGAAATTGATTTTCAGTTGCTGATTTGTTGCTATGGAGGAACAAGAGAGTTTCAGGTGCTGTTCTATCAGGAGTTGCTGTTGTATGGTTCCTGTTCGAGGTTGTTGAGTACAACTTCATTACCCTCCTCTGCCACCTCTTGATCACAGCAATGTTAGTCTTGTTCATTTGGTCAGTTGGCGCAGAGATTTTCAGATGGTATGACCACTCTCAATGAGCTTTTTATCTTAATTGATATTGATTCCAACATTAATTCATTCAAATATTTCTCCAGGACTCCTCCAAATATCCCAAAATTAGTCTTGAAAGATTCAACTTTCAGAGAACTAGCTTCAACTGTTCATAAAAGATTCAACCAGTTTCTGTCACTGTTTCTGTATGTGGCCTGTGGAAATGATGCAAAGCTCTTCTTTCTGGTACGACTTTAATTGAGCTTCATATAAGGTTGTGGTGCATAACAATTGAGAATGTCTCTTACTACTGGTCATTTTATTTCAGGGAATACTTTCTCTATGGTTTCTAGGCCAAATAGGGAACTATATAAACACCTTAAACCTTGTGTTTTTCGGTAAGTAACATTATTTATTTTTTTTCATTTGTACTTCTGGTGATCAATTTGGTGATCTTCCTTCTTCTTTTTGATGCATTGATCAACTAGGGCTCCTTTGCATCGAAACCTTACCGTTCCTTTACGACCGATATGAGGAAGAATTTGATGATCTTGCCGGTAAGGTGTACAAGCAGATGAGGAGAACTTACAGGAAAGTTGAAGCTGATGTTCTTGAAAAAATACCAAGAGGACCAGTGAAAGAGAAAAAGAAGGCCTAATTGGATTAACCACATCATAGAAGCTATAATGTACATATCAGAACATCATGTAACTAGATGATTGTTTACTGCCAAAGGCCAATAAATCAATTATGTTGCCGCCTACCAAAACAAAATTCTGACTCTGAATCATGGTAATACTACATCAGATACAAAGTGGAGACACCTACTTTTTAAACCATCATATATTGCTACCAACACAACACAAAAAGGAGAGTTTACCATTTACAAAATGCAGGAAAATGCTTTAGTGTTTGGTGAGTTGGGACCTATATAGATGAATTTAAAACGTTCAAAAAAGAAGTTTTCGTACTTGCAAAAAGCTCAACAAAATCTACTTTAACGTGATCATGCACCTTTTTTTGCTTATCACATTCTGAAACAAGGAGGTGATACCTGGCTAGCCCAGAAGCCAAGTTATAGCTTCAGACCATTAATTTTGTGTCATTTTAATGCAAGAGCTGTAAAGATGGTTTTCAATGAGACCTTAAAAAGAAATCTTCCAGGGGTTTCATCCCTTCAAAAATGCTGAATTGAACCCTGCAGAGCCACCTGTAAACATCTTGTCCTCGCAATATCGCTAAACTTTATCTTGTTACTTCAATGATCATGGTTTTAAGAGAAGCTAAGTCCACTGAATCTAATAATTTCTGGCTCTGAGGAAATTAGCCTATGATAGATCAAGACTAATACCAACCAAAGAGTTAAGATAACAAAAAAGTGCATCTTTTTGAGGAAGCAAATGATGGTTTCTCCCAAAAGACCATGACAAGTGCTCAACTTTCAATCTTTTCATTGCATATATGTGTTTGGAACCATCCTAAATCACTGCTTTTTTTGTTAAACAGTATCGTCAATTCGTCACCACCACTGCCAACATAAAAAGATTCAACTTTTGGTTTGCCAATCCATAAGCAACCAAGAACAGAGAGGCCATTTAGGTGAAATTGAATAAATAGGCCAGAATTCAAAAGGGGTCAGGTCATTTAGCTGTATTAATTGGCCCTTCAAGAAACTAGAGGCTACCAATTTATTATATATATATTGAATTGAAAGTATATTCTTGTGGGCTCAGTTCAAAAACAGGGCAATCTTCTGTTATGCGAAGAAATGGCAAGGAATCAATGGAAGGAGATCATAATGCAAAGAGGAGGAGGAGGAGAAGAAGCTGTTTCAGTTGGCAATGGTTATCTCATCTTCTGGTTGATTTTAGTAACATTTTCAGTTCTGTCAGCCATGATTTTCTCCTGTGCTGATGGTGCTGCTGCTGTGCCAAGAAGCAAAAACGATGTTACAGAATCAAGTGTTTATGTGGGCACTGGTTCTGCTTGTGCTACTGCTTGTGGAGCTGGCTGTGGTGCCTGAACAATACATGACTGAAATTAGAAACTCGAATAGAGTGTAAAAAAAAGCTGTACAAAAGGCTCTGAGGCAAATAAAAAAACTTATGGAAGTAGTTCATGAAAGAATGAACTGCAAAGTTTTGAAACTTCTCAGATCATACATATAAATTCGGCTTTTCTTTTTTTTTTTTCTTTTTTTTTTTGCCCCCTACTGCATGTACATTGTAATGTAGTAATTCACACTTCGGTAGATTTGAAGAGTATGTTTTTTTTTTTTTTTTTTGCTTGTTTTGAAAGTATTATCCTTCCATAAATCCTTGTGTTACTTGAAGCCTTAATGGCATGGGATAACTAAGCAAGAAATATATGCTTCATTGGAGCAGGAAAGTTTTCACTTGTTGTGAAGAAAACATTGTACTGAGTCTTTCTTTCCCTTTGTTGAAAATTGAACAATCATGGATTCCTTTTGGCCCTCCAAATGTAGTAAAAAAGTAGAATGAGCAGATGTAAAGTGATTAATTAAGGACATGAATATTATATATATGTACGAACCGTTATCAAGCAAGTCAAGATGGCCGAGTTGGTCTAAGGCGCCAGTTTCAGGTACTGGTCCGAAAGGGCATGGGTTCGAATCCCATTCTTGACAAATCACCATTTTTTTTTTTTTTAATCCCCCTGAGCTTATGTTGCATCTCTGCTATTCATTATGCATATCTTTTGTTTCCACAATGATCAAAGCAGTAGAAAGAGAGAGAGAGAGAGAGAGAGAGAAAATTAAGAAGCAAAGGGTGCAATGATCAAGTCCCCTGCGACCATCTCTTGAAAGAATCTCTTTTAGCTAAGCGATCATCCAATTCCATATCCGAAAACGAAGAATATGATGCATGATGAATCCTTCTATCTGATCCGCAACAAGTTCCATTCTTTGCATTCTGCACCAAACTCCACCCTGCTTTACATGGAATTTTGATACAACACCAAACTAAAGATATTGGACAGAAAATGCTCAGAACACACGCACTGCACACGCATTCTATCACCTTATATCTACAAGGTGATGCATCTTTTACATTGATGGAAGGAGAAGGAGGAGGAGGAGCAACTGCAGCGCATGGAAAAATGCGAGAGTTTGAAGCCTTTGGAGCCATGTTCACGCCTTGAAAAGCAGCAGTTACCTTTTTTTTGTGCTGTTCAATTCTACATCACATCACCAGCATTATGGTCAGAAGTGTTCTTGTGATCAACCATTATGCCACCCAGTTTGTGATTGAGTATTGATTGCTGGTTTTTGTCATATTTCATATGCAAGTTACACAAGTTATTATATAACCAGCCCTTCCTTAGGGGATCCAATTCGCCAATTGGCTTACTTTTATATATATACTTACCTTAGGTCGGAGGATTAGAATATATGTTTTGTTCTTTCGAAATGCCAGATTCCACGTGCGGGTAAACCTCAAAAGCTGAGGTTGATGATAGATTCTCTCCTCTTTTCCATTCAATGGGACAACGCCGCAGTCATAGATGATATTGCAATCGATGATCAACTTTAAAAATAATCGCACAAAACCTAGAAAGCAATTGTTCAGACATATTCCCAAGCAAAGATGGGAGAGAATTTTCACTTTTGAGATAATTTGATGATAACAACATCTTCAAAAGTTAGTCACAATGCAACAAAAAGAAACTGCAAAAGGGTGCCTTGTGAGGAGAACTAGACCAAGACTTTCCGTCCAGAACGTCTGCCTATCTTTCATTAACTTATTTTGTCTGCAAATCCTAAGAAAGCGAAGGCAGAAAGAGGCTGGAACAAATGTTTAATCAACTTCAACTAGCCTAACTACAAAACATTCTGCAATTGGTATGCAACAAAATTCCAAAGCAAAAAGTAGTATAGTCGTCATCATAAGCAAAGCTGGTTCCATCTATTTCCATGAGTTTGTTATTGACTCAATTCTCCCCCTTTCGCAGTCTTCCCATTCAACCGCTTCATGAAATGGGGATTAGACCGAAGTCTCTCCTTTAAATATGAAGTCCGAGCTTCCTCTACCAGCTTCCTGGCCTTTCCACACTCCTCGATCAAGGCATAAAGTGTTCTGAGACAATCCTTTCTGTTCTCTTCCCGGTGCTCAAACCTGAAAAAGATTCAGCATAACATAAACAATCTACAGCAGCAAAGATCAAACAGCAGAAGCAAGCAGGCATATGCATGGAAAAAGATTGGGCCGCTTAAAGAAACTTGAAACAAAGACACCGCTATTTGATTCAATCAAAGACTAAACATTTCATTATCTAAGCAGTGTACAAATCCAAGTTGACTTGCCTTTCACTTGTAATTGTAAGCTGATCTCTGCCTGGATCGTAACGCTTTCCAACCAATTCTCTGAGGCGGCGAAACTGATACTTTGACAAACCAAGCTCCTTGACAGTAACAGAGAGCTTCACCAATCGGTTTTTGGGGTGCCACGCATCACCACCAGGAGCAAACACACAACGTGATTGCCACCTAAGAATGGGACCTTCACCAGGTGGATCATCCAAATTATTTTTCTTATCATGCACATCAGTTTCATCAAACTTTGGAGCCTCGGCCTCCATCAGTTTAGTGCATTCAATGACCATCTGGTCCTCGTACTCTTTGAACAAAGCATAGCCCTGTTCATCCGTAAGCTCACCAGTATCAATCCTAGCAGCTATCTCATCAAACTTTGCTTCCACCTTCTTTTTAATCTCATCTGAGGGGAATTGCAGACAACAAAATAAGATTGATTAGAATGCACGTAGAACAAATGAATCCAGTGTTTATCAATTGCACCCCACTACATTTTGAGTACCTATCTGACAAGTCAGATAGCAATCACCAATAGTTCTGATTACTTAATTAACGGCAAGAGTGATAACATGTTAAGATATAGTAGAAAACCAAATCTACAAATTAAATACAATGATACAGTCCTACAACTAATAACAGGGAAAAGAAAATAATAAAAAGTTTACAAATCCAAGTTCCTGGTGCCAGGAATAAGTAACACAAGAAAGAAATGCCTAAATAAGAATACTAGAAACCAGGATTTTATCTTCTGAGGTGCCCTCAACACAGGTCTCCAGAGTCATGCACCCATTTAGCAACATCATTGATGCCAGAATATACTTTTTAGTAGCTTGAATATTTGGAATTTACTGGCATAGCAGCTAAATATCTAATCAAAATGCATCCGTTTTAACCCTAAGCCAAAACTTGCCAGCACCTTCAATGTCATAATACTTTGTTTTATCTCTGACATCCTATTCTTTATGGAGAATACTGTTCCCATAGTTCATATCCCAAACACCAAGTTAAAAAAACAACTATTATTTAGAACACTTTATTCTGTAACAAGTGAGTAGTGCTGAAATGAAAACAAGCTCCCCCGAGGTAGGACTAAGAATTTTGTCAGCTCCAAAAAGTAGCATTCATTTCCAACTCCCTTGAATTTCAACAAAAATTTTCTGAAAAGGAAAAGAAAGAAAGAGTGGTCCTAGTACCAAACTCTACTCTATCATAATTTAAATCCCCAAACCATTTTCTAGCAGGACATGTACTTATTTAACATTTGAGTCCGATACCTTTCCTTCAAAGACAAAAGTAATAAAAGTTAAACTTTATATCTGAAGCTCTTCTCTTCAGTTATGGCCAGCCAAAATGCAAATTAAACATCTACAAGCATGAGAAAAACCCACTCAACTGCATACGATTTAATTTAAGATAATGTTGCATTGAAAATTCTACCTGGTAGCAATTTGTCCCAGTTCATCATATCCTCTAAAATTGCCTCACATTCTCTCGTATCCTTAAGAAAACCGTGCTCCATTCCCTCTTTAACCATTTCATCCCATTTTTTGTCAGTCATATTGAAGTATTCATCAGTAGCCATTTTCTTTGTGACAATATCTCTTGCACTATATAAGTCATCTATCTCTTCATCGGTCTTGTGCCCATCCTCAAAATCATTTTCAAAGTCCTCGTCATCCACATCATCCAAAGGTTGGATTCGTAGATCATCTGCCAGTTCATCATCGGTCAGCTCATGCTTTCCGGTCAAACTCCTCTGTAAGATTGCTTCAAAGATTGATGGAAGCGCCTCTTCATCTCCTTCCTTAAAATACTTATACAAACGCTGCTTCAGCTCTGAGAAATAGAATCTGAACATCACTAAACTGATGCAAGTAGAACACAGTATCCCATGCTTAAAAAAAAAACAATAAATCAAAAAATTCTCGTAAGTACATTCTCAAGATCCTCAACCAACTAAAATAAACAAATAACCTCAGATACATGTGATGTACATTGAAATAAACCGGTAAGGAACTAAAACTAACAATAAGAAAACAAAACAGAGAAAATTATACTCCTATAAATAAAAAAACTTGCCTCTTGAAAACTAACCAACCAGCCCCAATCCAAACAGCTGATGACCTCAAGAACACTCAACAGACCTTATATATCACTGATTTTCATTATAGGAAGGCATTTTTTACAGCATTGATACGAAGTAAATATTATTCTCATCAAATTTCAGATAATTTCCTCAACCCACAGCAACCAAGAATCAATACCCCAAAGCAGATAATTACACTGAGAACTGATCCCAACTACGCATTTCACATTTCTCTTTAATCTATACTTCTACAAAGATCCAATATTTACCAGAAACATCGCTAAAGTAAGCAAATGAAAACCCAGATAATCTAGGTCCAGAAATCACCTTTGTTGCTGACGTCTTCAACATCTGCCATGACTTCCTTTTTAGCAGGCATCCCTTCGGATTCCGGTCCCGGATTCGGGCTGGGGTAAGGATTTTGACTGGACGAGTCGTCATCTCCAGAGGAGGAGAAAAATCGGACATTGGAACGGAGCGAAGGAAGAAGCGGAAACCCAGAACTGGTTTCGCTGATTTTTCTGAGATTCAAACCATTGCGGTTCAGATTCAGGAAATGAGATTGGGTGAGGGAACGAGAGTAAAGAGAGAGAACCCTTCTCATGATTTCAGGGTTTTAGGTTCGTTCTTCTGTAAAACCTGAAGAAGAGTTTAAAGTCCATTTTTTTGATGACCAATTTTGCTAGACATATCTATCTAATCTACCTATATTAAAAAAACTGTTCCCAAAAATAAAACTATATTAGTACAAAATAAAAAAACTAATAGTGAAACATGTTTTCTTATTTTAATTTCAGTTCTAGGGCATTATTTCATCCATCCCAGAATTATCATTTAGTTTAAAATTTTAACTTTTAATAAAATTTGGACTAAAATCAAAATTCAACCTAGATAATTATTTCAAAACGAATGAATATTTTTTTTATGTAAATCAATATTAAAATTTAATATGTTAATCAATCAATCTTACATACATATAAGTACAAAATAACCAAATTTTAATTTATTAGTATTTCATTATCAAATTATATATATGTATATATTTGATTTTAACAATATGGAATTGATATAATAAGTTAAAATATGTATAATTAGTCAAATCGATATGTTAATAATTTTCTAAAAATAATCTAAATTTTAAATTGTATTAAAAAAATTGTAGATTGTTTTTAAATGATATAGATTTTTATCATAAAAAATAATACTATAAATTATTTTTATAAATAAACAACAACGTTTAAACAAAAATGCTTTACCGAATACCCCTCCATCCAATTTTTTTTAGGACATTTTCCAATGAAATTTTCCAAAAAGTGACGTTTAAGTAACTCTCCTATGTTTTTGGGGTTTTATAAATCTCCTTATAAGGGATTAGTATGTGAGATAGATAATAGATGAGGGTAGAAGGGTTTCCTTCAATCTTTATCTTCTTATTCGATTCATTGAAATTTGTCAGTCCCACAAAATCTCCAAAAAAACCCATCCATATAATCTAGAAAACCAAAGATATTCTAGCAAGATTGCCCCTCAAGTGTTTGATGAAACTCCAATGTGTGTGTAAAGATTGGCGTGGTTTGATCAGAAGTCCTGACTTCAAAATTGTGCACTCCAACCATCCAAAGAACCAGGATAACCGTGTGATCCTCCTCAATCTCGTCATCGGAGGCACCCCAAACGAGCCGGACTCCACAATCCGCCGCCGCCCTGGTGATCCCTGCTTCACCGTTTTTCAATTCCTTTCTTACGATCACAATGAATCATCACTCCGCAAGGTTGCCCCTGATCTTGTATCATATTTTGGTCAAAGTCTGTTCATTGCCGGTCCTTGCAACGGTCTTCTCTGCCTGTCACATGTCGCCGGCGTCCGGCGCCACTGTCACCCTCTATCTAGCGGATGTGAGTGCATGTGTTTGTGGAATCCATCTACTCGTGAGACAATGACTCTTCCTCCTCGACCTTATGAGTACCCTCAAGGATTCTCCCTCAGATTTGGGCACGTCGGATTTGGATTCGATTCTCGTGCTAATGCATATAAGGTTCTGTGTATATCTGTACCGAAGATGGAGATAACATCAAGAGACGAGGAACACGATTGGGAATGGGGTCTTAATATGTTTGACGACCACGAAGTAGGAAATACATATATCATGGACCATCCAAATGATCACTGCCTGGTTGATGTCTATGACCTCAGCTCTAATTCTTGGAGACGAGTGACTACCACCGACTTGGAACCCGTAAGCATTGACAATGGTATATTGTTTCGTGGATCACACCACTGGGTCACATACCGAATAGTCTCAGTCGACACTGCCGAATTGCTTATTGCTTACTATGATATGAGCCTTGATGTAATTGGACATATGAAACATCCTGGTCCTGATGAGCGAGACGCTGGTTGGTTTGCTTCGCTGGCGATGATTCTGGACTCTCCTACTTTTCCTATGGATCTCTCTGACAGACGATGTGCCCTCACCGTGTGGGTGATGACGGAATATGGGACTGATTCGTCATGGATGAAGAAATGTTCGGTGATTGTTGGCGAAATCGGCAAAGTGATGGCTTGTTTGAACAACGAGAAACTCCTCCTTCAAAGTCACAATTGCTCGCCAACCCGTAAAATCATTTATTCAGATGTATCCTCGTGTGATATCCGACAGGATACATGGGACATCATCTCCCAAGAGAAGAGATATGGCATTACCGGATACGAAATGGGAGCAGTGATTTTTAAGGAGAGTTTGGTTCCAATCCAATCCACCTGATGTAATCATCTATCAGCGCACAGTGATTACCTCTCTAAATTGTGGGTTGTAACATTCTCTAAATTCTTGATTATCTTTTGATTGGATGCCCACCAGCACGTTTTTCTCTCTCTCTCTGAAGGTTATCTTTTTTTCCTTCTTTAATCTATCTACCTTCCTGTCAGGCAGAGCTACTATATGCTTCTTATGAGAACAGAACTCTGATAGAATCCTTGATTATCCCAATTGACCCATAGAGAGACCATGGATGGGTTGCCAAACAAATCGAACCACTAAATCAAACAATCTTCAAAATTAGTTCCAATTTCAAGTTTCCAACCATATGTCGAATTGTTACGGATTCAAAAATGGGTCAAGAACCCCCAAACCACCACCACCAAAACCACAACACACTAAATTTTTGTTGATTATTAAGCGCATTAGCCATCAAACAATTACTATGGGTTATGGATTTGAGATTTAGGCTAATCTTGCGACAAATTCTTTGTTTCTTTAACAGTGTTGTAAGTCTTGGAAGTTTTTAAGAAATTAGATGAATCTAATTTTCATTACACTTTTGTGTCCTTGATAACAACAAAGTATTAAGGAAAATATATCAAATCTAATCCTATCTGTGTGCCTCTTAAATATTACTCAAATCTAATTCTGCCTCTTAACAAAATCTGTGTGCATATAATTATGCACATATATATGCATCAAAAAAAAAAAAAAAGAAAGAAAGAATATGGTTGGCCTTTTTTTTTCTCCTAGTAAATGATTTGCTTGGCCATATATACACTTAAGCATGACTGAATTTTTGGAACAAAACTTATGAAATCAAAGGAAGAAGATTTTGAACTCTTATTTTTCCAGATATACTCCCTCCGGTTCCAAAAACATGTCAATCACTTTGGGACGAAGAGACAGTAAATCTCTTTTAAAACTGCACACAACATAGTCATCAAGAGAGCTACAAACCTTTATTAAACAGCTGCATAGATCATATGTCGAAAATGAGATACATCGAAGTAGCACTACTCTGTCTCATCAAGAACCCTCCTAGTAATCTTTTTCTAGCACAATTCAGCTTCATCAGTCATCACTACCACTATCAGAAACTGAGTCTGAAGAATCAGACTCTGTGTGAAGACCATCATTGCCAACAACTGGTGGGGTGATAGGCAATTCGTTGACCAAATCATCGTCTAATTCATCAGTTTTCCCTGATAACTTCCTCCTCAGTATTGTTTCAAACACTGTTCCGAACGCATCCGGGTCTCCTTCATAAAGCTTCTGGATCTGCTTTTTCAATTCTGCAAGAGATAATTAATCAACCATCATGAAGACCAACTATTTCCCAATTCAAATTCAATAAAAATCAGATAATCGAATTCCATTAGAAACAAAAAAAAAAAACGGGGATAAAAGCAAAAGCAACTCAATTCAACTGCAATAAACAACCAGGAAAAAAAATAATGACTGGGGATCAGGGGATGCAAAAACAGCCATCCCATCTTCATCAAATCATCTAACTACGATCTGAATGAACAGAAAAATACACCACAACAAACGAAGAAACAAAGGGGTCTTCCACAGTTCGATACTACTTATAGCATCTGCTTCAATTAAAAAGATCAAATTTTCAACCAAAAAGGATGGGAAATCATATGAGCTACTGGGAAATTCACTTGCCTTCGTTGCTGAAGTTATCCGCATCATCATTTCCTCCTCTGGGTTGATCCAAGATCGATTCAGATTTCTTTGGGATTTCTGAAGAGAAAAGTCTACTGAAGTCGAAGGAAGATAAAGTAGGAGGAACTGGAGGTGATGTTTGATAAAGATTAGGTTTCGAAGTTGAAAGAACTTTGGTAAAATTCCCTTTGTGGAAGAAGAGGATGCTTTTTACAAGAGAGAGTTTCATGGTACTCTGGCTCCTAACCCCTTCTGTCTGCCTATTGAGGGTTTTAAGAAGGGTTTTCCTTTTGCCACCCTACTTAGTTTAAAAACACCTAATTAATGTGTTTTTTTCTGAATTTCTGATAATGTAGTATATTTTTTATTAAAAAAAAAAAAAAAAAAAGCCTTGCACATATATAAAGCTGTCTAGGCAATGCTAAATATTTTCTTTTCCAGTAAATTTAAACCTGTAAGATCTCAAAAAATAGAGGTGCAAGCAGCACATATGTTATGCCGCACGAACATGTGATGCCCCGGGTCAATTTCTTATCCCGTATATGGTTCGGTTTCTGACTTTGATACTCAGATTGAAGCAGAAAATCATCACAATCATTCTGTGAACGAAAAATGTACATATATCATTATAGTCAATTGGGGTGGAAGGAGTCCATGTATACGCTTAGTGCCGGATGTGTATGACGTTTCATTTCCTTGGACAAACCAAATTCATTGAAGTTTGGAAGACTTGGGAGAAGCCAAGAAGTTGGGGGGCGGCGGACATGTAAAGCCGAACCATCCAGATACAGAGCGAAATTTTTCACCAAGGAAGGTAAAGAGGTAGATTACAAATGCAACCAAAACATAAGTACTTGAACTGTGATTACAATTGCTTACTTGTAATACCATTAAATAGAGAAAAGTGATGTACTGCATAATAAAGGCTTATATATGAAACAGCACACTCTAGATTCTACCTCCATGGCTTCCCTTCTAACCTGGCAATGACTAACTACTGTAAACTTTCAATCTTGGATCAACATTTCAAGGTACATCTTATGTACTAACAAATAATGCAGTTTCGGATCCAGGTTAGAAAGGTGCAGTCATCTACCCTGCATTCCAAAAGAAAACTAAAAACATGGATGAACTAAAAGATTTCACTTCTTGGCCTTGGCAAACCTAAGGCAGCGGTATTTTTCACCACTAACAGTAATCTCAAGAGCACCATCTTGATTGTCTTGATTGGATGCTGTTCCCATCAGCACGCTTTTCTCTTTCTCGAGGTTCTCCTTTTCCATCTTTAATCTAGCTTCCTGTCGGGCAATCTCCGCCTGCAAAGCAAACAGATTGACTTAAGAAGGAACCAACACCATTACATCTCAAGAAAGCAGAACTTGATGGGAACCATCATTCATCTAGGAGGACCAAACACAGTTACCAACCCTTTTTCCATCTGACTCACATCATATTTTAAGTTTAATTCAAAAGGCACGACAAGAAACAGCGAGAGACATCAAGCACGGTTCATTCAAAAATTAAAATCAAAGAAATGGGACAACCATTCATCGTATTGGATGGTATTTCTGCATCAGCATTGTGCAATACTGCAATCCAACCATGCAGGGAACATGTACAAGATTACATTTAAAATTACAAATACAGTGGTAATCAAGTCCACAATTCACAAATTTCTCCAAAAGCTTTAAAGGTGAGATACCATAAAGATCATCCAACTGAAGCAAACTAACTTCCAAAAAGGTACTCATTTTGGAAATTTCCCAAAGTATCATATCCTCACTTCTCACGAATAGGGATAGAAATTTAACTAATGGCACGGCAAAAATAGAAAAGCATAATCCACAGCATTAGAACCATAGTTCAAAGGAAAGTAGAATAGAAGATGGAAACTCAGGATTATTCGGTCAAAGCTACAATAAGACATGAATGTCGAACACCTAGTTCAATTTCAGCCAATCAGCAAGAATTAAAGCTTTGGAATTAGGTTTACTCAAAGAAATTAATTTTGCAGCTGAAGATAGCCAAACAAGAACCGAAATGAAACAATGAATTGAAGTAATAATACCTCCCGTCGAGAAAGTTCGGCCTTCCAAGCGGCTTCACGCTCGGCGACCTCACGTTCCCTCTCCTCAATGTAACTCTGCATCTCCCGCTCCTTCATTAGCCGGTCCTGTATGTCGGCATCCAACGCTTCCTTTAATTCCTGAACGAATTTGTCCACCACCGCTTTAATCCGGAGCGACATCGCCTCCGCCGCCGGCGGCGAAGATTACAACAGCTCTGAGTTCAGGGGGGAATAATAAACAGAACTAAAGCGACGCCGCTCCGGCAGCTTCCAAATCGGTCTGCGATTGATCTATCATCACCAAAAAACAAAACTCAATCGATTCTCTTCCAACGTTCAATTCCAGCTCCCATAAAATTTGGTTTTTTTAAAAAAAATGATTCTCTAAAATTTGGAATTTCGAATTTACACTCCACCTTACACGATCGTATCCATTCAACAAAAGAGAAGAAAGAGAAGACAAAATTATTCCTTCCGGTTTGGTGAGTCAAAGACGAAAACAAAACCGAGCGGGCCCAGATGGACCTTACGCTTTACAACTCTAAAAGGCCCATATAAAATGTGGCCCATATTCGAAATTTGACTTTCTTCTTTCCTCCACACACCACAACCCCAGATGCATGTAAACCAAAATAAATCTTAAAAATATTTCATTTTTAAAAAATAAATTTTTTTTCTGTTTTGGTATTTGAGCCATACGGGCTTCAACAACATTTGCAACAAGGGTGTCCAACGCTGGACAAAAACAAAAGAAAACTAAAAATTAAAAAAAATTATTATAGAATATATTCTTTTGCCTCGGTATATTACGTTTACAACTTGTTGTATTCTTTTATTACCTTTTTTTTTTTTAAGTAGGGTTCATCAAACAGATTAACATCCTAACAAAAGTCCACGTTTAAATCACTAAAAGGTTAATTTGGAATCTTACCACTAACTAAAACTGAGTCCGAAGTCATACACTACATACCACAAGGGTTCTTAAACCAAAATAAAAGTATATTATTACTCCCGTATCCTAAAATAATAATTTGCTTTCTTTTTTTTTTATATATTGTTTTGGTTCAACAAAATGAACTTTAACATTAAGACTGATTGAGAAACACAAATCAACACTTGAGAGGAGAGAAAGATGAAAGGGCAAAGTGGTGGTGCGGGAAAACACTTTGAAAAAGATGGATCGGATATGAAGGAAACCCATTGTTGCTCACCATATGAAACAGCCGTAATTAGTTTAGGATCAATAACAGTTGCTCAAAACGAACTTTACCTCCTAGTTCCTACCTCCAAATTAAATAGCCTTGCAAAACACTATATCACCATATGAACAACAGTGATTGTTGTCAAACAATCAGTTTCTCCGATGAACAATGAAGGTGAAATCGAACAAGGCCAAGATGGAATGCCAAAAAGTAAACATGGAAACCCCATTCCATGTCTAAACAATACTCCCTCCATTCTAAAATAAGTGTCATTCTACACTTTGCACATAGTTTAAAAAATTTTTAAATAAGGTAATAAAATTACTTGAATATCCTCAACCAACCCCACTAAAAAAATGTCCACCAGTAATATTAATTCTTTCGAGGGTAATTTTGGAAATTTTGGACAAAAAGTACATTGAAATGTGAGAACGACACTTATTTTGAAATTTTTTCATTTTGCTAAAACGACACTTATTTTGGAATGGAGAGAGTAAGATTTTATTCATACAACAATCCTAAGTTTCAGCAACTACCCCGACCTCGATAGTCCATACATCTTGATTCCCAACATTCATTATATCGATAGTGACCAAAATGTCAAAATGCTTCAGACATATTCCACAGACTCATCGATAAGCACCAAAAAAAGGTTAATAATGAGATTAGTTACACAAAGTATAATCTGGTTTTCTAAGCTAAAACTTCGTTGTACTTGAATACACAGTCATACAACCTTCCACCAAGAAACTGAGCAACTTCAGGGTGCTTCACCTGCACAATAAGTAGAAAGTTAGAACAGGAGCTTCATAAAATAAAAAGATCCCAATGGACGAGTAAGTTTTAATGATGCTTCATAAGGAGTCATTTACCATTCCAATTTTGAGGGAATCACATTTGAATTGAGCATAAAGGTTAGTTTCTATTCCACGGCCCTGCAGATTTTAAAACATCAAGAAAACAAAGAAAATTATCCTCATATGTGAAGTTCACAGTCTGGGACATTCTCTAAACTGAGAAGAGCATTGTATGCATCAACTACTGCATCATGTGCAAGTGAACATGAGGTATATAGTGACGTGCTTTAACACAAGCAACCTCAACAGCTATCATCAATTAGTGCTTTTTTGTATGAAAAGCCCGATACACCTGAAATAAAGTAACCAACACTTACCATTCCTTCCAAAATAACTAGGTCGGCATCATTTGCAAGATAGGCCAGCTCTTGTGATATTCTTGTGAGATCTATTATCTGCAACCAAAAAAAGAACAGAAAATGTCATCAGAAGAACAAGCCAATCAGTAATATCATAAATAATCATAGAAGGATATATCTTTTGCTTCTTACCGGCAAATCATTCCCTGAATTAGCAATGAACAGATTTGATGTATCCACTCCGGCAAGCTTCCCATTGTCATCCTTCAACTATTAGACATCATTTAAAAAGTTAACAGAAATCAAATAAGTACAAAATGGTGAGAGTTCAACACGAAGCAGTTTATCACCTTCGATATAATCTCAATCAGCTCTGGGTATGTCACATCATTTATAGACGGCAATTCATTGGCCGCCAACACGACCTGCATTCAAAAAGTATCACGGGATGATAATGAAGCAAATATGGAAGTGTGAAAAAAGAAAAAAGAAATCTTCTAATAGAAAAGTCTTTGAAAGTATTTAACTGGTTAGAGCTACAAAAAACTAGTATGAACAGTGAGCAAATAACAAAGGCAAGTAGGAAACTATATGAAACTTGGAACATACATATAGTTTACAGAAATAAGTAAAGGTTAAGATTTAACTGATGCAACATTATTCTGAGAGAAGCAGGACCTTAAAAATGATTTTACCACTAGCACTAAGCACTGGGCACTGAAAAGACTAAATGGGACATTACTACCGATAACAATTAGGTTACAAGCATATCTGGGAAAATAGAGGATGTCTGTATGGTTGTTTTGCAATAGTAGACATTTTAGAAGCATAACAGAAAAAGGGAAAAAAGAAAAGGCCATGTAGCGAGTTTAAGAATAAATGAAAACTCAGCGATACTCTTTTATGAATAGTTTCAATAAAAGAGCCTTTTTTCCCCCAAAATCTGAAATCTTAAGGCACACTGATCATTTCAAAATTGTTATTTGTATCACATGTTCAACACATAATTTTACAGCTTTCCACATCCAATACCAATTTGCATACTTTTGGCTAAAATGAAAACAAAATAGCTATCCCCAATGCTCTTTTGCCTCAAAAGAAGGTGGGGCCTTCGACTCATTAAAATGACAGGATACAAAGGCACGAGTCAATCTCCCACTTTACTTAAGTCGGCTTCCACTAGTAAATTGCCAAACAGTAGGAGACTTATCTCAAGGAAAAAACAAAAAACAATAAACAAAAAGCAAAAGAAAAAAGTACAATAACAATCTAAATATTCTGAAGAAACTCTATCACTGATAACCAATCTACAAAATACACTTATTAGTTCTTACTTCTGAAAGAGAAACTAAAAACTTCAGCAAATAATTATGATAATGAAACACAATGATCATTTGATTTTTTCACAGTATCATTCAATTTTCATAATTATACAATACTGGCTGGTCTCCCACATTCACAAACTGCCACATACTTTTCACATTGTCCAACAAGAGCCAGAAACTTATAAAAATCACCTCAATCATTATTAATCTCTCACAAAACCCCACTGAGCACTGGAAATACTTGATTTACAGAAAATTATTCAACATATATGCAAGCAACATAGACACCTTCAAATATACAGGCATTATTAAGAAACAGAGATGATGAGGGAGAACCCATATTACCTGTGTCCCACGCCGCAGTAGCTCCCTGGCGAAGGGGAGTATTCCTAGAATAATATCAGCCCCGGAATTATCGACAAATATTACAGCCTGCAATCAAATACTGGATAGCTCAGTGCATGTAGGAACGACTACAGACAGATACAACCAAAATCAAGCAGAAAAAAGACCAGCAACTTCCATGCATACTGACCTTCTTCCATGATTTCTTGTTCCATTTTGAAATAAAAGCTTCCAAATCATCAATCACCCAAGGTCTAGGAACTAGGTTTTGACAACTAGCCAGAAAGGACATGCCATCCTTTGAGAACAACTCAGCAAGCTTCAAGAGTAGCAATAATCAAATCAGTAGCTTCTCAAAACTTCAAGATTAAGCAACTTATAAAGACTTAGAAGAACATCCCTTCAGCAATTAATAGAGTAGTACTTTGCAAGAAAGATAGGTAGTGAAGCTGTATCAATGTAAGCATGAAAGACAACTAATCTATCCAGGTGTCAACTATCCTCATAGGTTCCCCCAGTGTTCGAATTTTAAGGAACAAAACTCCAGTTGGTTTATTAAATTCACAACCAACGTCTTACCTGAGCAGAACCAAGATCAAATATATTTCCAGCAAATATCCCTCTAACTAAGTTCTCCACGCGTTTGCTGGGGTCCTCAATGGCATCATTTAGATTAACAACATCCTGAAACAAGGATATTGCCTTGGCATTTTCTTCATCCTACAAATGAAAATCAATGTCAAGAGTTAGCAAAGAGCAGAGAATATTGATTACTGGATCAACATCAACACTTTACAGTTCAACAATAGAGAAGATTTCACCATTAAACAAAATATACATCACATAAAGTAAGAGGAATTAATAGATGGCTTAACCTCTTTTTCTCACCTTAACTTTCTTAAAAATATCTCTGAACCCAAGTTCTCGGAGCACCTGCTCACGAAGCTGACAGAGAAGCTAAAAGGAACGAAAACAAGGAAAGGAAAATGAAAAAAGGTGAGAAATTGCAGCTCACAGGAGCACAACATTCTTATTAGAAAACAGAAAATTGGAAAAGGGAAGGAGTGACATACAACGCAATCAGGTGGTCCACCATGACTTTCAGGATCTTTCTTCAAATCCTCCAATATCTCAGAGTACCTAAATCAATAGATGAACAAATAGACATACATAAACAATCCACTTTAGTTCCAATAGGCTGCCGAGCTTCCGAATTGAATTGGAATTGAATAAATTATGAGTTACGCATAAGTATCGGAATGGACTCCTCCTTTGTCAATAAGATTGTACATTTCCGAGCCATGAAAAATTTATATAAATACCAAACAGAATAGTACCTTTGAGCGAACTTTTCAGCCCTAGCAGGAGCATCTGGAACTGAATCGTCACTCTCGGCCCGTTTCCTGAACATAATTCACTGATCAGAACTCATATATAGACTGATCCTAACAATTTATTTTCTTATAATCCCTAATTGTATATAGTGATACTGAAACTATTAAAAGGAAATGACAATGACGCAGAAGTAGAGTTTGTTACCGGAAAGAAGGAATGGAGTTGCCGAAAAGATTTATCCAAGCAAGCTCAGTAGGGGTAGGCTTCTTAGGGTTGTCGGAGGGGAATCTATAAGGAATGGTGCATGCCCGATAATTGGTTTCGATCGGCGTCGTCAACAACGGGAACGCCACCAATTCGCCGGAGCTCTCCATTGGCCTAAATTGCGCGCCTATCTGCTTATGACGGAAATCTAACGAAATTCAAAGGAAAAGGAAACTCATGATTATATACGATAATGGGCTAAGATTCAGTTCAGTTGGGCCGTTAAGTTGGGCCTAATTTATATTTAATGCGCTGTTTCCATTTTTTTTTTTTTTAATCTTTATAATTATTTCATTTAAATTAGATATATAGCTAAAATTGTTTTGAGGATGTTTATTTACTCAAGAGTAATTAAATATGGTCATTTTTATTAAGGGACCTCTAAACTCACAAAACTAATTTAGTGCAACTTGATACAAAAGGAGAAATCCATACTGTATTATTGGAAATTGGATGACATATAGGAAAGAAAAAAATACTGTACACTAAAAATGTTGTTTATGTAGGAATATAATCTAACCTTTAATAACTTGTTAAACCCAAGCCAGACAATGTGCTTATACAAAAGAAACACACATTCTTTAATTTAACGAAACAAAATCAATTTGATAAGTGACATACAAAAAAAGAAAAAAAAAAGATTATAAAAAACAAAATATATCGCGCAATGAATAAAATTATTCATCAAGAATAATAATGATTTGAAAGTTACCTTGAAGCTTGAAGGCTAGTAAATGTCGTCTAAGTATCAAAGTACTCTATTTTATTGGAATTTAGCCATATAGAACCCTACTATATACTACTTATGGGGAAATAATTCTGGCCTAAACACAACCTAATTGAACCTTTTTTTTTTTTTTTTTTGAGAGAATGGAATTTATAATATGTTATTATATATGGATTATTAATCTAGCCCCATAGTTCTTATTGGAATCTAACTACTTTTCCACTAATAATTCCTAGTCTACTTCTAATAACTACAGTATATGTATCGGCCAGCTAACAAATTGTCTTTTTTCATAAAACGAAAAATTAATTAAATTAAAAGCACCAATTAAAACCTACATGCAAACATATATAACTAAATCTGTAACTCTGTAAGGCTAGGGTTAAGAGTTAGGAAACCTTATAATTGCATTTTTTAATTTGAGTTATAATTCTTAATACTTATATATTCTACCGTCTCAGAAAAATAATTTATTTCATTATACTCTATTGAACTCTTATTATGGATTGGAATGCCCGTTTTAATAGACCATCCATTTCGTTATTATAATTGGCTGCATCCATTTCACACTTTCATTTCGGTTTTGGCCAATCTTTCATTTTACATTTTGTCTCATTTTACCTCTTAAACACAAAATCCAACGGAAAAGAAAACACCATTCAAACAACGGTTTGATTAATATTTTAAATTCCAACTTGAAACACTTTTTATTAGTGTAATGACCATTTTAGAACCACAAATAGTTCAGTGACAAATTTGGCAGGATTTCGTTATTGAGTAATTATTTTTGGAAAAGTTCTTTTTTGCAGTGACTATAATTGACAGTATTGAATTGTTTAGTGATGACTGGTACTTGATATTTTTAAAATGTAGTTCAAAATATTTTTTTCAAAACCAACATCCAAACAACTTTTTGCTCAAAATACCATCCAAACAATATTTTCATTTCTCATTTAGTTTTCAGCTTGAAACACTTTCTACTTTTAAGTGGCAAAATGAAATGTAAGATGATGTCGAAACAAACACTTCAAATCTCACTAAGCTCGATGAGTAAGTTACTGTTTGAATTTTACAATACAAAGAAGTACACTTTCTTGGGGGAAGAGTAGAAGAAGAATGTTGATTGAGATTTGAGATGTGGCCAAAAGAGGCCACAAATAAAACAAGGAAGAAGAGAGTCAAAAAGTAGTAGTAGTAAATGGCAATCGAGGACGAGATAGATCAGCGGCATTTTGTTACCGTAGGAAAAAGTACCAATCACAGTTTTCTCTTCTTTTTGTAGTGTTTTTTTTTTTTTTCCCTCACATTTGTCAATACAAATCAACTTTCACTTTCACCGTTTTGTTGTTTTGCTTCAAAAAAGGTGTACAAAAAGGGTCGGTTTTTTTGAACTTGAACTTGAACCAAGAACCAATCTAATCAATCAACTATGCAGCACATACAAAAATAATAAACTGTATTATTTTCCTTTTTTCTAGAGAAATATTAATTTATTTTATTATTGGGCTGTTTTATTTAACAAAATCAAATATTATTATTTTTGACGATGGAATATTTTCGAACACCACAAACTTTTCTTTTTGGGTTTCTTATGGATCTATATCCTTCAAATAACAAAGTAAGAAAGAAACCAAATATTCTTATGCCCGTGTTATTAAAGTAATCAGATTATAATCATATATATTACCTAAAAATTGAAGATCATGGAATATTTCACCTATCCTTAATAAATATCTCATCAAGCTGAACCAAATGAACAGTGTTTTCTACTAATGGAGTATTGTTATGGTTGTAGCAAAATTGATTAATTTTTGAAGACGAATTCATATTTCATTCTTATAATCTATAGTGTAAAAATGGGATTTAGAGTAGAATTAAAATTGTAGTAGGGAAAGTTGGTATGAATGAAAAAAGTACCAATCAAGGAGAGAATCAAAAGATCACACATGCTCAAAGCTTGGTGGAGTATGTGTCTTCTAATTAGGGAACAATGCATTTTTTGTTATGGAGCTGATTATAAAAAGGTTAAGTGCACTTAATAAGAACAAAGAATACCACCGAAAACTACTTTTCGTGGAATTAATTTAATTTCTTCATAACTTTGTTTATGACAGCCAACAAGTGCAACTAAACTTTAATACGGTACGTCTAAACCAAACACTTGCTGGCCAAAATGGTTAGTAGTTTAGCACCTTGAAGTAATTTTTTTAATTTATAAATTTTATAAAGGACGAATGCACGTTTTGGTCCCTAATATATTGGGGGTTGTCCAACACAGTCACCAAAAATATTTTACTACAGATTTTAATCCCCTAATACTTTTTCTGTACGATTTTGGTCTTTTTAGAAGTTTTTTGTAGTAATTGATGGAAATTTTAACTCATCCGTTGATTTGAATGGGAGGTATGGAATTTGAATGAAAGTGGATTTAAGATAGCTCTTAAGTTGCTAGAGGTGGTGGTAGCGGTGCTGCAGAGGTGGTGGCGCTAGCGGTGGTGGTGAAAAAAGAGGGTGTTGAACTTTTTTTTTCAGGGTCAACAAATGTGGGACCTATCCCTACTGGAAATGAATAAAAAAATTCGGAGATTAACGGAGGAGTTAAAATTTCCGTCAATTACTACAAAAAAACTTCTAAAAAGACCAAAATCAAACAAGTAAAAGTATTAGGAGACTAAAATCGGTAGCAAAATATTTTTATTGACTGGGTTGGGCTACCCCCAATACGTTAGAAACCAAAACGAGCATTGGTCCTTTTATAAATATAAAAAATAATAATAAAAGATTTGTTACTCCTAAAAGGTTTCGACTTAAACCGAATAATGTCCTTTTGAAACTTTGAATGTAAAAATGACCACACTTAGGGTGAAGAAGATTGCATCATGTGAAATGGTGATTGTCAATTATGACAATTGTTCCCTTAAGATGAAAAAAGTTCATAGTCATATGGTTAGGCTTATGATCAAAATAGCAAATTCGAAAGAGGGGATGAAGTAGGAAAACTAATGAAGCATGAACATGTGGCCAAAAAAAAAAAATAAAGAAAAAAAAATCATCAATGTAGTCTTACCATTATCATTCAATGTTTGTCATGGCTAGAAACAGTCCTCAATTTTTAAGAAACATGTTATTCATCCTTTTTGCAAGTAATATCCTTTTTGCAAAGTTACTTGCAAAAACAACTTCACCACCACCAAAAGCTACTCAAAAAATTAATAATTGCTAGCCGAAAACTAACCATTTCCTTATTGGACAGCCCTTTAATTTCTTTAATAAGTTTGATGCTTCCTATTGAAGCCATCCCTCGCAAGTCAACTAAAAAGACTTTGATCTCAAGATTAAAAAAAAAAAAACAAATGTTCATTTTGCATAAGCATAAAGACTTGTCTCAATGATAATGATGGATAATCTAAGTAGTATACTTATCATCTCTTGACCTTGTTTCTTGTGGATTTTTCCAATGAAAAACCACTTCCAAATTTTGGCCGGTTCTTATTTTTCCTATTTATGTATAGTTTTTTTTTTTCATTTTAAAATAAAATACTCGTGTTTAAATACAATTAGATAAAATTTCGTTGGAAATTAAAAAATCTCCAATTGGAGGCCATGATCCTTATTCTAGTTGGTGGTGAATGAAAAAAGTCCACACTTTGCAAATAGGGAAAATTTCGGTACTACTAGTTCTTGTATGGTTGCTTTTAACTTTTATAACTAAAATTTAAAGCGTCATCTAATTGACTTTTGTTGATTGTTGGGTCGATATAGCTGTCATAAAAATAAATGTAAATAAAAATGATTAAACGAATGTCGACATTCCACCTCGAAGTTGACCAAAAAAGAAAAACCATTTTGAGGAAAAATCATTATCTGAATATTACAATTTACAAGTGTGAAAATGAAAATGAAAAAGAAACAAATAGAAGATGACAAGGATATAAGCACACTTGTAACTAGTAAGCAGTTTGCAGTACAGTTAAGTGTCCTTTGATTTAATTTTAACCAAACAATTAACTACTATAGTACTTTAAGAAACAGCAATAAACTAAACCAATGTAGCAAACAAAAGCAAACAATGTTTGGTAATCAAATCCCATAACTTCAGACCTTAGAAAAATCAGGGAAACAATGTTGTAGGCTCTATCTCTCTCAATATGGCTAATAAAACCTTGTAATGAATGATCATTTGTGAAATCACAAGTTAAAGTTTTTTTTTTTTTTCACGTGAATATTATTGTAACTTTTGAGTCGTTAACTGTATGATTTACTTCGAAATATTTCTCCAAACTTAAAACGACCTACATTTTGAAATGGATCGAGAAACACGCTATAGAGTTTTCCCAAATTTGTCTGTTAATCTGTTTTAAGAACACCATTTTTGCCAATAAGAAGACGAAACAGAGCCCCACCTAGGACCATACCAATAATAAACAAAAAATAATACTAATAGTGATAAAAAGCAATAAATGTTCCTCTTCTTTCTGAATCCTCATCCTTTCTTTTCTTGAACTTTTTGTTTAAAGAAATTTCAACTCTAATCAAATAAAGGGGAAACAGGGAACAGAACAGCCATTATTGGCTTTATCGCCAAATTCTTTCCTCCACTATCTTTCTTCTTCTCTCCAATTTCTCAATCCCTTTTCCCTTATTCCCTCCTTCTTGTTGTTCTAATAAATTCCATCTCATTTTCATTTCTTATAGCTTTTTATAATTGGCAAAGCAAAACTTGGTTCACTTTGTACTGCATCCCATTCCTTCTTTTACAATTCAACATTTTTACATTTCCTTTGCTTTCTCTCTCTCGTTCTTTCTTTCGTTTTCAGTCCCTTGCATTCAAGGACTTGGCTTTTATTCTTCTAAGTCATATGCTGTTTCTGTTGTTCAAAGACTGATCACATAAAAGTGGTTGTGGCCCTCTTCTTCTTCTGTCTGTCTTCTTCTGGAGATTGTTTCCAGTTAGTTTATTTTGACAATCTTTTATCTTGTAGGAGTCTGAATTTTTCATTGCTTATACCTAGCTATGCCTATGGTGACTCCAGAAAACTCATGGTTTGGGGAAACCAGTAGATATGGAAGATCAAGAAACCTTAATCTCAATCACAGCCAGAATCAAAGAGAACCCATCTCAGAAACAGATCGAATCCCTTCAATTCTCAACTCAAAATCAACCATTTCTTCATTGCTTTTCCCCACAGCTGAAAATCCCACTACCCAGAATAAAAAGAAGAACTTTTCATCCGCATCATTTAGGGGATTGGGATGTACTGCATCATCACAAGTCTCGGTTCCTGCTGTTATAAGAACCTCTGCTGATTGGGAGACCAAGAAAGTGAAGAAGAAAAAGCAGAACAGCAAGAAAAACCAAGGCCTCCTAAATGCACCTCCAACAGCTGTGGCAATGGGTGGGATAACAGCTTCTTCTTCTTCTTCTTCAGCAACGACGTCTGTACCTAGTACCAATAATGGCAGCATTAACTCATTATCATTATCATTAACTTCGAGTTGTGTGGCTGTGCCTGATGTTTGGTGTGGTCCTGGGATGGGGTTAACCACTGATGCTGCCTCTGTTGATTGTGTTGTTTCAAGAAGGCCTCTTTCTGGGAGGGGAAAAGTTGATGGTGAAAAGATGAGCCACAGAGAGGTATTGCTTGGTTTCCGTGACTAGGACCATAATTTTTTCTTTTCCCAAAAAAAAAAAACGCTCATTTCAAGATTGTCCTTTTCCTTTTGCTATGGAGGGTGGGAAATGGATTGTCCATGATAATTCAATTGGGTGTTTCAGTTTCAATTTATATTAGAAAAAACTTGGCAAAGTATAGGATGTAGGTTAATTATCTGGTGAAACATTGGAATTCAAGCTTATTAGTTCTCAGTTTCAGATGTGACATGGGTGGATGAAACTAGTTTTTCAATCATTTTCATTCTGAAGGTTTTGAATGGTTTTTGACCGATTACATTTTTGGTGGACAGGCTTCTATTTCTATTTTTTGTGACTTACTTTTTATCTGCTTTAGATAACTTTTTGTTTGATTGGAGCTCACCACATTTCTCAAATTTTTACATTTGATACACTGTTACTGGATTACCGTGTACATTTATATCTGCCAGTAACACTGTCATTTGGTCTTTCTTCCTGTTTATGTGTCTCAAGATGAATTCCTTCCCATTTTCAGCTGTATGATCTTTGGATGCCTTGTCGGTGCTTTGTGTTTTTACTTTTCCTCCCGTGGGACCTTACAGTTTTAAAGCCATAGAACTATGAATGAACCTAAGTATTGCGTTATCAGACTGACTAATTTAATTTGATGCCAGCGCCCTTCATATTCTGCAAGGAGAATGGTAACCCAGGAGGACATCCCTTTTCTTGATTCTGATGCTTCCTTCTCTGTGCCTCGCTCCCGTATAGATTCATTTGGATCCCGGCATCATCGCCATACTCGACATGGTTTCCCTGAAGGTCTCGCTGAGGTATATCTTTGATTACGCTCTCCCTGCTCTGGTGGCTTGCAATGTGTTTTAGTTATTTGTAGAATGTGCAAAGTGCAACCGTGATCTGATGAAGCAATTACACTAATCAAGATTCTCCTGATTCTAATTTTCTTTACCTTCAGTCAAGTTCAGTCTTCTTTGATGTTCTACAAGAAGACCTATACGGTTGTTACTTGTATAGACTCTTGATCAGATATACAAAGTGAGCTGAAGGGAACATCTAATGATTGGTTCTTGTTTGGCATACATTGACAGAAATCTTGTCCGTGCAGTAGTTTCGAGTAATTGGTACTGCAAATCACTGACTGTGTATGTTTAGTAGCTAGGCAATAGTGATAAAACTCAAGCAATTCAATTTCATTTCAAAAGGATTAAAAATTTAACTTGGGCTAGAAAAATAGTAACATTCAACATGGAGAAGTCTGATCAGTGAACATAGCAAATTGATAAGTGATCTCAATTATGGTCCTGAAAAATAGTGATTGGTATCTAATTTTATTAGTATTAGTTGTTGGGACAAGTTTGACGGTCATTGCCTTCTGTGATTGCTCTTATTGGTGGATACAATTGGGTTATTTATTTGGTCTATCTCCAAGAATTTGAGTCAGAAAAGAATCCTACGTCACTATTAATTTTATTGATTTATGGCAACTGGCAAGTCATTTCTTTCACGTTAGAGAGAATGTCGCACCCTAATCGTTTATCCCACCCATATACAGAGCCATATTTTGCTTTTCCGTATAAATCACTCTCTATGTTTGCTCTTCTATGTGTCGTATGAATGTAGAATTATTCACCACGGCAACTTTCAAATTAAATATGGCTTCCATGAGTTGGAGAAAGATGGAATCTTGATTGCTTCCCGGGGGTAATTCATCATAAACTCTCTTATGTTGAGAGCTGAACTTGAAGCTTCACTTTTGCAGATTGTTATGCTACAAAATAATCTTATGATGGGAGGAAGATACGATGGTCATGATCGATACAGGGACTGGAGACTTGATGTTGATCACATGTCATACGAGGTGAGACGGTTTCTGATGATCTCTTTTTCAAATTTCGGTCTATTCACTTCGTGCAGGCGTTGTAGTTAGGCTTTGTTCTTGTGGTGCAAACAGGAACTGTTGGAACTTGGTGAAAGAATCGGGTATGTGAATACTGGATTGAAGGAAGATGAGATTAGTAAATCTGTGAGAAAAGCCAAGGTCTCTGTTGCAGATGATCTGCGTTTGAGAATTCATACCGAGTTGGAACGGAAGTGCAGCATTTGCCAGGTTAAGATTAAACCATTTTCGTGCTGTTGTCCCTCTAATTCCGAAGTTTCATCCATTTCCATGCCTTATAGACTTTAAAGTGTTCCTATTGTTCTTATATAGGAGGAATACGAAGCTGATGATGAGATGGGAAAGCTCAACTGTGATCATCTCTTCCATCTTGAGTGCATAAAGCAGTGGCTGGCACAGAAAAACGCATGCCCTATGTGTAAAACAGAAGTGGTGAAAAATAGGTAGACCAGATTGCAGACTGTTATTGGTACCTTTGCTTAATGAATCTCTGATGTATAGATTTCATCCTGTTTAAAAGGCAAAGTATTTTTGAGATGGTATCTCCAATGGCCCCCCATTCTATATGGCTCAGGCTCAGAAGAATCATGAGCCCTTGCCCTTATCAAGCAAACCTGCATCTTGATGTAAGATTATTTGTAGTTATATAAAAGTTTGAAGGGAATGATGGAGCTTTCAACAGTTGTGATAGCTTTATCCTTTTCTTCAGAAAGTACACTTCTTCCAGAATCAATGCACTCTGTGTAGATTGGTTGATGATGCCATTATACACAAAAGTTATTGAATTGTGAAAGACTGGTTCTTGCATTCCAATTTGGATGGGGTCTTTTCCTTCATTGTTGATTGTCTCTATCCTTGACCACCATCCCTTCCCTCCACTATAACTAAGAGGACAAATCAATTTGGGACGGAGAGAGTAATCATTTGACTTAATTTAATGAATGTAAGGTGCCATAGAAAAAGTTTAGACAGTTAAAATGATGATAGTAGATGCTTTTAAGGTGGGTGTTTGGCTAAAAAAAAAAAATGGAGGTGAAGAATGTAAAGAAGTGGGGAATTTTAAGGGGGTGTTTGTTAGATTCTTTTAAGATCCAATTATTCACTCGGCCTTGGCAAATTATTGTATATACAGTTTTTGTATTCTTGTTCGTGTATAAACTCATTTGGATATTTTCCAAATTATAAATTTCCATACCGATATTATGGAACAATTGAATGTATTATTTTGAAAGTCCCATGGTCCTAAAATTATACAGTTTAAATTTTTTACCATTTTAAATTGTATAAAAATAAAAAATTAAAGTAGACAACAGTTTCGGGACGGACTATGAGCCGTAGTATTATGTATTGAGTTTATGTAAATTGTATAAAAATAAAAAATTAAAGTAGACAACAGTTTCGGGACGGACTATGAGCCGTAGTATTATGTATTTATTGAGTTTATGTTCGTGTATTGAAGCTGGTGAATGTTTACAATGAATGAATGTGAACCCCCAAAAATGTAATTTTCTGTCAGTTTTCAACATTTACTCCAAATCTTACCGCTATTAAGATAATTTTCCAATAAATCATGAAGTTGAAATTTTAATAACTTTTATTGTAATACTACCTTCATTTTATTTTATCTGTTACATTAGGTAATTTTTTTTTAATCTTTTCAATGCAATATTAAATATAATTTTTCCAATTTCATCATTATCTCTTTCTATTTTTAATAACATACATTAATGACAGTTACCTTACTTTACACTCTAATTTCATTTTTTTTTTTTTTGTAGAGTTTCAATTCTTCTAATTAGGGCAAAAAAAAACAATACACTTAAAAGTCAGAACCTCCATTATATAATCCTTAATGGTAAACTGAGGAAGTATCAATTAAGTTAAAAAAAATTAAACTCATTACAATTACACATTCTTTCCATCTCATACTAATAATATTTTATTTTTAAAATTAAAATCTTATACTAGTACAATTTAACTATTAAAAAATGGAATGGACCTATGGAGGGATTAATTAAAAGTTGAGAAAGAGGAACCAAAACTCAACCGCCTCCCACAAATACTAAAACACACAGTCACAGGGTTTTTGAACTGCAAAGGAGCTGCCACGTCTCATCAGCCCAAAATATATCCTCTCCCTAAATTTCAAGCTATTCAAGATTCCCCCTTTTCTTCTTCCTCCCTTCTCCTTCCTTTAACTTCCCCACAGATCTTTTGAACCAAATCATTTTCCTCCAGAAAACCGTCCCAATTTAGCTCCCCCTAAAAACGATGTCGTCGAAGCATCTCCTTACCGCCGTCCTCCGCCGCACAAAACCCTTAAACCCCACAAACTTTCTCCGTCCATTCTCCACCGCCTCAGCCGCGTCCTTGGCCGTGGAACCCTTACCCGAGGAAACTACCAACGGGATAACCATTAAAGGCGTCAAGATCGCCGGACGGCCGCTCTACCTCGATATGCAGGCCACGTCTCCGGTGGACCCGAGAGTTCTCGACGCGATGCTTCCTTACTATATCTCTCAGTACGGAAACCCTCACTCCCGCACTCACCTCTACGGCTGGGAATCCGACCAAGCCGTTGAATCGGCTCGGGCCCAGGTCGCGGGCCTGATCAACGCCTCCCCTAAAGAAATCATCTTCACCTCCGGCGCCACGGAATCGAATAACATCTCCGTCAAGGGCGTTTTGCATTTTTATAGGGATAAGAAGCGACACGTCATCACTACGCAGACGGAGCACAAGTGCGTGCTGGACTCTTGCCGCCATCTCCAGCAGGAGGGTTTTGAGGTAACTTATCTTCCTGTTGAGTCTGATGGGCTGATTAATTTGGATAAGCTTCGAGCCGCTATCCGGCCTGATACGGGTCTTGTTTCTGTTATGATGGTTAATAATGAGATTGGTGTGATTCAACCTGTTGAGGAAATTGGAAAAATTTGCAAGGAGTTTAATGTGCCTTTTCATACCGATGCTGCCCAAGCTTTAGGGAAAATTCCTATTGATGTTGATAAAATGAATATTAGTTTGATGTCTTTGAGTGGGCATAAGATTTACGGGCCGAAAGGGATTGGAGCCTTGTACATGAGGCGTAGGCCGAGGATTCGAGTAGAGCCTCAGATGAATGGTGGTGGCCAAGAGAGGGGAATTAGGAGTGGAACTGTGCCCACTCCGTTGGTTGTGGGATTCGGGGCAGCTTGTGATCTTGCTAGCAAGGAAATGGAGTACGATGAGAAGAGGATTAAAGGTTTGCAGGAGAGGTTATTGAATGGTATTAGAGGTAAGATTGATGGAGTGGTCGTGAACGGGAGTGTGGATAGGCGGTATGCTGGGAATTTGAATCTGTCGTTCGCATATGTCGAGGGGGAGAGCTTGTTAATGGGGTTGAAGGAAGTTGCAGTGTCGAGTGGTAGTGCTTGTACGAGTGCAAGCTTGGAGCCATCGTATGTCTTGAGGGCTTTGGGAGTCGAAGAAGACATGGCCCATACTTCAATTAGGTACGGTATTGGAAGGTTCACTACTGAGGAAGAGATTGACAGGGCTGTGGAGCTGACTGTGAAACAGGTTGAGAAGTTGAGGGAAATGAGTCCGCTCTATGAGATGGTGAAGGAGGGAATAGATATTAAGAGCATACAGTGGTCACAGCACTGATTCCTATGTTAGGTTTCTAGGTTATAATTGTTGAAATGAAGCTGTATTGCAGATGGAGCTTCTGCATGTACTTGCCAACGACAGAGCTGGTGCTACTAGAGCTTAAAGTCGCTGATAATTTTTTAGTGCTAGCTTCCTGGTTTTATGGATATTCATCTGCTCAGCAAGATGATGAGCTTTTGTTATTCGCTGTGTAGGATTATGCATGTGTAATTGAGAGCATGATTACGTTTTGGACAGCTGCTTTGGAATGACAGGTTTCGGAATTTTGGTTAGTATACCCAGGCTTATGAAACAGTTTTTTGTTTTGATGATGTTGTTACTTTCTTTAGTGTGAATCTATGTCTGATAGTTTGCCTGCAAAGCTTTGTCTTTCAACAGTTTCCCCTTAGTATTTCCTTGTTCATTACATTATTTATCATGTTTCTGGGAAAGACACAGCACAAATCATTACTGAATCTCGGAAGAGGTTTCAGAGAAAACATCACCAACCTAGCAAAACCTCTGTGAAACTAAGTAGTAGCAAAATTAAGAAGGAAAACCAAGAAAAGAAAACTGTCCACAACAACAGCAAAATCACAATGTAATTGAACAATAAAACTTAAGAATGCTAGCAAATGTAGGAAGTGGTGTGAGTTAAGATAACCAACCCCGGCGCTTAGTTAGGAGTAAAGAAAATTGAAGAGCTTCTCATAACATTGAGCTATAGTAGCTGTAATATATCACGGGAAATCATTTATCCACGGAGTTGCTGCTTGGCATGCGTTCTGGCTTCAGGTTCTATCTCAATTCTCAGCTTGTTGCTCAACCAGCAAAGAATTGTTGCATTGAGGTTCTCCAGTTCCCATCGAGAATTGAAAAAGTTGATCAACAATCATCTTCCGCTGGACAACTTCACTTTTAAGGAAACAGTTGATGAGTTCAAATTCAAGGGTACAGCCACGATGTCCTAGTATCTCAGCCACTTTAAACTGTAGGACTGTTGTTTAAAATATATTCTGACTTTATGCTTCCCAGGCCTATCTATTCCTTTGAAGGGGTTGCTTAACTTTAGTATGAACTTCTCCAAGTTTGGTGATGCCCTAAAGAATAAAGTCAAGTGAAAGAAAAAAAAAAAAAAGTCCAAGAATGACTCTTCACCAATGTAGACTGAAGACTTTAAAGTTTAATTCTTCAGATAACGATGAGTGCTTCTGTGCAGAAAAAACAGCAGATATTTGCAAGCATAACTGAAAGAATGAAGAAGAAACTACATTCGTGGAAAAATGAATCTTTGTCGATGCTTGGAAGAGTCACTTTGGCGAAACACTCCTTAGTTTCGGTACCAATTTATATGATGGGTGTCTTTAAATTACCTGTTTCTGTTACGAAAAAGATTGATCCGGTGATTGCTAACTTCATTTGGAGAGGGGATAAAGGGATACGGGGGATCCGCTGGAAAGCTGAGAACAACATCAGTAGATCAAAGTATAGGGGTGGATTAGGGTTGACAAAGTCTAAAGAACTGATCCAAGCATTGCTTGCTAAAATGGCCTGGAGAACTTAAGCAAATCCAGGTTCTCTGTTTGCTAGAGTGCCTTACAGCCAAATACGTCAAAGAAGGAGATTTCCTGAGCAGCAGTTGTTCGACTTCAGCTTCTTGAGGGTGGAAAGGCATCACAGTAGGGAAAGGAATTATTGGTAAATGGCCTAAAATGGCAAGTTGCAAATGGGTCAAGCATAAAGGTGGAAGATGATTGGATCCCAGGACTGAAGAATCCCTTGAAAGATAACCCCGTGCTTCAAAGTCTTCCAACTTCCAAGCTTGAAAGTACGTGATTTATTAGATGAAAACTTTCAATGGCGAGAACCTTTGGTAAATAGCATGTTCCCATGCCACGCAGCACAACCGATCCTAGCATTATGCATATCAAAGAAGGCACCACAAAGACATGACAAGAATATCTGGTGCAAGGATATTACAAGGTCGTATACTGTGAAGTCAGGATATTATGAAGCTCTTAACAGTACGGATCACTTGAGGTACGCGCCTTCTACTTCCAATACACATCAGCTATCTGAACAAGGTTGGAAGAAATTTTGGGCTGTCAAAGTTCCGGGAAAGATACACTGGCTCATCTATTACCAATGCTTTACCAACTCTGACTGCTCTACAAAGAGGAGGAGTGGTGACTTCCACAATCTGCCCTGGGTGGAAGACGAAACTGTCAAACATGTGTTTTTGGATTGTGTAGATTCAAAGATAATTTGGCTGGCGTCACCATTAGGCTTTGATTTTGACAAGGGTGATGGGTTGAACTTCAATGATTGGGTAGATGATTGGTTACTCTCTGCACCAGACAAAGAGTTAATTCAAATGTCCTTCTTTCTACTTTTGGCTATTTGGTTTAGTAGAAACCAGACAGTTTTGGAGCACACTGGTCCATCTCCAGTAGAAAGGCAAAAGTGGGCACTGCAAGAATTTCAAGCATTCCAAAAGGGTGGCTGCAATGTCGATTCAACAAGGGAGAATCACTTTGTCTCCTCAGATTCCTCAAACTATCTTTGAAGAAGAGGCAGATTACTATGTTAGAGTTGATGGAGCTTTTCGGGAGATGGCGAAGATAGGAACACGAGCGTGGGAAATCATTACTACCCAAGGGAAACATATTGCTTCTGAAAGTGAAGTTTTCAGCGCTACTTCGCCTCAACAAGCAGAAGCAAGAGCTTGTTTGCTGGGTTTAAGAGCAGCACACAAGACTTGGGATTTGCAGAAGTGCATCTTACAAACTGATTCAGGAGCAAAACAAGGTTCCTTTTACTTTACATTACCTAGTAGAAGATATTAGGGAAGTATGTAATAGTTTTAGATACTGTATGGTTGCAAAAGTTGATCGGTTCATAGTGGAGAACGCCCATAGCTTAGCTAAGGCAACCCTCCGAACAACCTGGTTGTACTCTTGGCATACGTTGTTTTCATATTTGATAAGTGTGTTTCAAAACAAGAAAAAAGTGCTTCTGTGCAGATAGCTGAGGAAGTTGCCCTTCAAACTTTGTAGCACTTTCAGGAAACAATAACAAGGAAAGAAACCTCCAGCTTTGAAAAGCAGCACAAAAGCTGTTGGACAACAGGCTGATGTTAGCATAATAGCATTAATCAATAAGGCAGGAGACATTGTAATGCCTCTGGATGATCAGTCTTGATTCTTGAGCTAAATAAGATTAACCATTGCGCACAATGAGGGATTGTAAGGGAAGAAACTTCCAAATTTTCTTCCATCTTCTTGACAGAACGCTTCTTCTTCCAGCTTCTTTAAGCATTAAAAAAAAAAAAAAACAATATTTTTTAAAAAATAAAAAATAAAAAAAATTAGTGGGCTTCACTTGGACCAACCACAACAATGTAGCTGGGCTGTGCTCTCTATTTGGACCAAAATTGTGGTTCGTTTAGAATTGTTTTTTCCGTTTTCTTTTTCCGTATATTACTAGTGCAGTGTTTTCGTGGCCTTTTTTTTTGGGGGTAACATTTACAATTGCTTTTTTCGCTTCTACTTACACATAACAACCTACATTTTGTTGACTGTTGTTTTCGTATAAAACTTGCTATTATATGGAGTTAAAAGTATCTGTACCGTATATTATCATTATTACAAAAAAAAAAAAAAGAATTGTAAAAGATATCGAAAAGAATGAAATTCGTAAATAGTATCTATTTCATTTCCCAATTTTCCATGTCTCTCCACTTCACTCCTCTTTCCTTATAGTATTAAATTGTTATGACTTTCTTATATTTATAAAGATTTCTGAAGTCACGCCATGACATTTTAAGTTTAATCATGAGTCGAATGCCTAATTTTTATTTGTTGCGGACTATTTAGAGTTTCTACATATATTAAACCATCCATCACATACTTAAAGGAGCACTAAGATCAGGAAGTGGAAAAGACTCCTCTAATTTTGATTATATTTCGGAAGAGAAAGATTATACTCCCTCCATTTCAAAATGTAAATCTTTTTAAACTTGGTACGTAAATTAAGAAGACAATCGTCGAATAATTAAGTTATGTGTTAAATATCTTTTTTATCCCTCATTAATTACATTGAAACTATAAACAAGACTAAATAAAAATATATTAGCATCATTTATTGAGTATAAATTTGGAAAATAGTCATTAATTTGCCTAGAATTTGTAAAACGACTAACATTTTGAAAAATCTCTCCAAACCTAAAACGACCTATATTTTGAAATGGAGGAGTAGTTCTTTTGCCAGTAGTTGTACCCACTAACAGATGGTTACTACTACCTCCATTCCAAAATAATTGTCATTTTAGAATTTGCACAGAGTTTAAGAAACACTTAAATAGAGTTGCTAAATTACTAGAATATCCTCAACCAACTCCATTAAAATAATGTTCACCAATAATATTATTTCTTTTGATGGTATGTTTGGAAATTTTTGACTTAAAATACATTGGAATCTGAAAACGACACTTATTTTGAAATTTCTCCATTTTGTTAAAACTACACTTATTTTAGAATGGAAGTAGTACCATTCAACAAATTAATCATTGTTATAAAAAATAAATACCATGTTGTGTGAAAAAACGCACTACATTAAACTGTTAGATAAACGTTCTTTCTCCGCAAAAAAAAAAAAAAGAAAAATCAGCACTTAAACCATGTGTGCGTAATTTTTTATGACAATTTTGGAACACCACTCATGATCTCTTCTTACTAAATTATGAGATCAAACGTCTCTAAAATCTAGAATACCTTTAACACATGAGTTAAAGTTCGATTTCATATTTACATCTCAAAGATGGTCTTCTCTAGAATTATGTCACAATTTATGAGAACAATTTTGTCCTTGGTAAGATATGTAAAATCATCATGCAGTATTTAGTTCCTCAAGATATTTTTATCAGAAACTGACAGACAAATTTGTCGAAAGGCAACGTTCTATTTTTTCTTGAGTCTTTCAAAATCAGTTAACCACCGGCGTGGAGATAACTCCGAGACTTTGGACGGGAGCAAAACATCTTTTCGGCTTCTGACGCTCTTTTGGGCCCCGGGATTGGTCACTGGAATGTGGAGTGGACCAGTCCAATGACATTCTACGTACCTATCGGAGAAGGCCATCTCGAGGTAATTTGGTCCAACAGAGAAAGCTTCAGTCAAAATCCACCGGGACCAATTCCATTTCGGTCTTTAAATTTTTTATTTTTTATTTACTTTGATTTAGTAATGGAAAGAAGCGATTAGGAAGACAAGCAGTGATCATTTTAGCAGGGGTCAAATTTCACCAATTTGTGCATTGTTCACCATATGATCGCGACAATCAAAATGTTGTATGACTTACCTAGCTAGAAAACTAGTGGCGGAGCCAGGAGTGTAGCGTAAGGGGTGCAAAATAAAATTAAAAACGCGACTAAGCTAAACACTGGAAAAATATTAAGTATGCTTTTAAGATAGCTCAAACATTCATTCTAATTATTATTTTTTTAATACCCGGGTAATTTATTAATAAAGTAAAAAACTTCCGGGGCTCTGCTTAAGAATTATTCTGTACAATGAGAAACCGTCACAAATAACGGTAATTTAAAAATGAGTAAACTATATCAGGAACAAACTAGCCGGTAGTACTCTTGTCTCTGTTAGAGACATTTGGACATGGACAGGACAGTAATCAAATTTTCCGTCAGCGTGATTCGCATCTTGTGGATCACTATTCGGGACTGTCGCATTTGGTGGGCATATTGAGAATCTCGAATAGTACCTGATATAAAGAAAAGCTGGAATTGCTGTGTAACAACCCAGGTTATCGTTCTTTTTTTTTATTTTTTTATTTTGCTTACCAACATAGTTCTAGATCGATGAGTCGGGGTGTTACCACTTTGGCTAACCGCTAAAGCTATCAAGGTAAAAGGGTCGTAACATAAAGTAAAGAGATATTTGATTAGATGTTGGCAACTGCCAATGGGTACAATAGTACAGGTCCCTTATTTGCGGAAACAAGGTAGGTAACACAACCATAACCCTATCGTTACGCAACCATAACCCTACCGTTAATACAAACTTGTAAACTAAAGATTAGCGTAACAATTCTATAGCAAGCATTCCTAGATATGATAATTCATCTGGCTCTACTCTCCTCGTGACTCTGCTCCTGGGAGGGATATTTATATAAAATAAAGGGGTGAGCGCCGAGCTCAGTGAGTTCCACACTATTAGAGGTATGTACTTTGAAACAGAAATATTCAAACATTTCAAAATATAGTTATGGGAACACATAACAGACAAGAGCATATTATTTCACACAAGCAATCGATAAAAGCAAATTCAAAGGCAAAAGGAAGAGTTTATCTAAAAGCCGATATGGCAAGAGTGATTAAACCCTAACCCTAGCCGATTCTGTTAATTCCATTCAGGCCGTAAAAACCTGATAAGCTGTCAGTAGAAGCGACCTTTCTAACTAGGTATCAATTCAACTCAATTTCCACCCAACATGCCATGTCGCAACCGGATATCTCAAGAGAATCCTGAACAGCCACTGTTGGCAACGAACATGACCAAGCCCTATGCCGGCTCATGACACATTTGCTTAACTAGCCGTCTCGGGTCCTTAAGCATGCACATATAAATTCAAATATGGCTTATAGCCACACACAGTTCCACGTTTATCAAGCAATTAAGACAGACAACAAGTCACTCAGCAAATACACCCTAAGGCATATAAGATCACCTTTAGGGCTTAATAATATTATTCAAAAATACTTTTATTTTTAAAATGTGTTCGTGTGTTGTGTCTTTTCAAATATATCCATACTCCCAGTTTTGAAATGATTTTAGAAAAAAAGTGAAGATTACTTACAAGTTCTATTTATTCGGAGTTGTCGCCTCCGTGGAAGTGCTGCCTGCAACACGTATTGGATAACACTAAATAAATACTTAAATATTATTGATAATTCAAATAATTTATTTAGTAATCATCTTAGTATATATTCTTATATATATATATATATATCCAAATAATTTTACTTTTATAGTTTGACATATACATTTAATCGGGAAGCCATAATTTCTTATTAATTTAAAGTATTTTAACTAATATTAAGTCTTATAAAGTTTAAGATTTATTCTATAACACCTAAATCATAGTCTAAGACAGCAACAATGTCAACTTAACAATCTAATAAATGTTTTCATCATTTAAAACTTAAAACGTTAGCATTCATACTAAGGTTAAGAGCGAATGGTATTTTTGAACGTTTTTGATGACTTCGTTTCATCACTACGGAACGATTCAGAGTACATATTATATACCATTGGAAAGCCCTAGGAGTATAGATTCTAACGCAATAAACGGCAGCTAAATCCGAATTTTTTAGAAAGAATTACGTTAATTTTAGCAGACACGTGTGATTTTGCCGATAGAAAGACGGTCGCGGGTTTCAAAAGTTTCTACTCGAATTTTACTCAAATAAATCTAACTTAAGCTTAATAACCATACTAAAATGAATCTATTAGCTGAAAATGCATTAATACTATGATAAATATCATTATCTAATAAATTGATGACTAAACTAGAGCAAGGTTTTCTTAGTTACCTCTATTCGGCAAGAAACCTTCTTATATGGTTGTTGTTTCTAGCTTCTTCTCCTCCAATTTCCTTTCTCCAGCACCGTACCTCACTACTTTACTGCCCTATCAGTCTATATATGAAGTAGTGTTTTGCTTTTGATGTGAGTTAATCACTACTTCTTTAGCCTCTATTTATAGGGTTGAAGAGTCCTACTACTCTAGCTTGTCGGCTTGCTGCGTAAGGGTTTTAGAGCAGCCACATGCTGCAATTTTCTTTTGCTTAGTCACTCTAAATATGACTTAGTAAGCTGCTTGTTTAATCCCTTTTGCTGCCATGGTTATAGACTCTTCCCACATGTCCTTTCTAGGGTGCTTACTCAACACTAGACATAGGGAGTAGGAAGGCTTAGTGAGCTGCATGGTTTGTACCATTTCTGATTGCTAACTCCATTGATTTCCACATTGGCCACTTGAGCTGAATATGCAGTCT